CTAAGCCATGTTTTGATCATGGCACATGGCAGGACATTGATTGTTGTTATTTCCCTACTGAATCCGTTCTTCGGCCAAGTCTTTCGAGAAGTGGCTTCAAATTTTTGAGCCCTGTAAGATTCGACACAACGGTGCCCGTAGCCCAAAATCAGAAAGCAACACAACCATCCGTGTCATAGGACACTATCGTCTTTGTAATGTCTTTGTAATTTCCCCTCTCGTGCAAATCACTGAAGCTGGGGTCCGCACATATGAATCCAAAGCTCCTCGCCATTCCTGCTTTGACTGGCTTTCGCAGAGTCAAAAATGAAAAATGATGCAAACGTGTGCAAATCTTTCATCCGGGGGGACCACAGCTTCCCTTGACTGATCTGAGTTTGATATCTGCATGGAATACGGGGTGATGTGGTGATTCGGATGTCCTGCGCCGAAGCCGACCTCACAAATGCACACTGCCCGAGAGTTTGGGGGGGTGTTACTCAACATCCAACCAGCTTTCTGTGGATCGCCCATGGCGTAGGGCCCCAGCACGCCCGCTTCCGCAGCTGTTCGCCAGCCATAGGCCGTCAGCACGAAGCCAGGTTTGGAGTTGTCGCGGGACTGCGGCAGCTGAATCCCATTGTTTGGAGGTCCAAAATTGTCAGAGAAGAAACAAGGGAGCGAGGGACAGATGAGGGGGGTTCATGCAAGGCATCAGGCATTCGGAATGTTTACAATCATTTTCCTCCACCGTACCAGTTGTTCAATTGGATTAGTACTCTACGATTATATACCCCATCAAGCAACCAATGGGCAAAGCCCAACTATACTGCATAGCCCCTGACCTACCGTGTTTCCGCGGTAGAAACGCCGTCAGTCTCGAGACGCTTGGCAAACCAAAGTCCAAGAGTTTTGACTTTCGGTTCTGTCATCTGTCATTCCATTCATTTTGATCTACAGCCACCCCAAAAAAAAACATAGAAAAAAAGTAAAATCCTTTACACAAATGGTACGTTGAAGTAAATTGAGCCTTTTCTATCCGCATCTTTTGGGCTTCCTGTACTGAAATTCTGGAAAAATGGGCCACCGCCTGGTCCGCATCTTCCAAACCTGGCAGGTCCATCGGGCTGTTGCGATGACTATTGCTGTTGTACTATGTTTCGCTGTCATCATTTATGTCCATTTGGGTGTGTCTGAAAATAGTGTACCCCTAAACCCAATGGTTAATGATCATTATCCCTATTAAATGGCTATAATTGGGAATATACCCTATTTTCAGACAAACCCATTTATCAATATTTACTGCACATCACAAATTGGGACAAACAAATTATGTTGGTGGTGAGTATCATGCTCTACCTTCTGAGTCCCGACATGGAGGTAGCTTCGTTTGAGAGGATGGCATCACGGCATTGGCAACCCGCAAAAAAAAGGATCGAAAAAGTAAAATCCTACTCAAAGAGCGTGTGGTTTGGCTGATTATCTATCTATTGCATATCAAATACATTGAACTGGTTCTTTCTCTTTACCCAAACCCCACGGCCTTCGCCGGGGCGTGGCTGTTTGGGATGCGGCACCAAGACGCCCTGTGACCCGTGACGCATGACCCAGGCAACTGGAAATGAATGGGATATTCATATTCTCTTAATGAGACATTAATGGTTACAATGGCAAGTTGCCCCATTCACTGCCTTCTAAGCGAAAATAAGATCTACAGTAATATTGATATCATTAACGTTACTGTGTTATGTAATATTGAAGTAACAATTCAAAGTAATATTGTTCTTCATATTGCACAACTTGAAGCCACACAAACCTTACGCAAGTGGACCTCAACATATCCGGCCTTCGGGGCGGTTGAGATCCAGGAATATCCGCCCAGCAGCGGAGGGGCCTCAAGCTGCGTTGTGCGGTTGGGATCATCAAGAGCATGGAAGTAGGCCGGGGAAATAAAAAAATCTTGTCCTACAAATGAAGGAATATGAAGGAATATGAAGGAATATGGAGGAATAATGAAGGAATATGAAGGAATATGAAGGAATATGAAGGAATATGAAGGAATATGAAGGAATATGAAGGAATATGAAGGAATATGAAGGAATATGAAGGAATATGAAGTATAATATGGAGGAATATGGAGGAATATGGAGGAATATGGAGGAATAATGAAGGAATAATGAAGGAATATGAAGGAATATGAAGGAATATGAAGGAATATGAAGGAATATGAAGGAATATGAAGTATAATATGGAGGAATATGAAGGAATATGGAGGAATATGGAGGAATAATGAAGGAATATGGAGGAATATGGAGGAATAATGAAGGAATATGGAGGAATATGAAGGAATATGAAGGAATATGAAGGAATATGAAGGAATATGAAGGAATATGAAGGAATATGAAGGAATATGAAGTATAATATGGAGGAATATGGAGGAATATGGAGGAATATGGAGGAATAATGAAGGAATATGGAGGAATATGGAGGAATATGGAGGAATAATGAAGGAATATGGAGGAATATGAAGGAATATGAAGGAATATGAAGGAATATGAAGTATAATATGGAGGAATATGGAGGAATATGGAGGAATAATGAAGGAATATGGAGGAATATGAAGGAATATGAAGGAATATGAAGGAATATGAAGGAATATGAAGGAATATGAAGGAATATGAAGGAATATGAAGTATAATATGGAGGAATATGGAGGAATATGGAGGAATATGGAGGAATAATGAAGGAATAATGAAGGAATATGAAGGAATATGAAGGAATATGAAGGAATATGAAGGAATATGAAGGAATATGAAGGAATATGAAGGAATATGAAGGAATATGAAGTATAATATGGAGGAATATGGAGGAATATGGAGGAATATGGAGGAATAATGAAGGAATAATGAAGGAATATGAAGGAATATGAAGGAATATGAAGGAATATGAAGGAATATGAAGGAATATGAAGGAATATGAAGGAATATGAAGGAATATGAAGGAATATGAATATGGAGGAATATGGAGGAATATGGAGGAATAATGAAGGAATATGGAGGAATATGGAGGAATATGGAGGAATAATGAAGGAATATGGAGGAATATGAAGGAATATGAAGGAATATGAAGGAATATGAAGTATAATATGGAGGAATAATGAAGGAATATGGAGGAATATGGAGGAATATGGAGGAATATGGAGGAATAATGAAGGAATATGGAGGAATATGAAGGAATAATGAAGGAATATGAAGGAATATGAAGGAATATGAAGGAATATGAAGGAATATGAAGGAATATGAAGGAATATGAAGGAATATGAAGGAATATGAAGGAATATGAAGGAATATGAAGTATAATATGGAGGAATATGAAGGAATAATGAAAAAAGGATGGGCAATGCTGACCATTTCTGGATGAGAGTATCCATCTTTGAGGTGGTTTGACCGAGTACTGCTTGCGAGTTGCCGAAAAACAAATGGCAATGGGTTTTCCGCATCAAGCGTGCTTCAAGCGGTCACATGATCTTTGTTTAGGTCTTGGTCCCTCTGCTTGATTACATCAAAATGCGTCCCTCTAGGATTGTTCTTCTGGACATTATATGACATTATATGACATTATTAGATCAATGGATTGGTTTAAAGGAACATCATGGAACATCTTGCTACAGTCTGGCTTTTAGTTTTTTCGTAAAGAACAGGGTTTTCCTGTGGGTCTCCCGCAGATTTTCCCATCCTTCTGCCGCTGGGAGGCTCCCCCCCTGCCATCGAAGGAGATGGAGAAGGTGGCCTCCTTAGTATAGACCTAGGGCTGGGAATGATGGCTATCTGAGCACCGTGGGGCCAAACAATTTGATTACGTTTTAACATATTATAATATATATATATATACTATATTAATCTATATTATATATATGTATATATCTCTCTCTCTCTCTCTCCCTCTGTGCGAGTACATGTATGTTATATACTTACATTATCTTATATTGTCTTGTTTAAATATGTGCAAAGATATAACTATGTAAGTTATGTAATATGTGAATGGTGCAAGTGCAAGTCATATCTGTCTAAACTACCTGGGGTGAAACCCGCTATTCACCGGTGGCCTGGATATCATCCACATGGTGTCAACCCAGGATTTATCCGTCGTTGATTCGGTGCCGGGTTGTTGTAGCCCAACAAATGATACATACATTAATGTCAAAAAATGCTCGCCTCCATTTAAAAGTTGTTTATTAAAGCCATCCTTGTCTGGGACCTTAACAACCAAAGCGATGTTATCAATCCTGGGTTGACATCTTCCCACCAAGAGCTCCTTGGAACCTAAGAGGCCGGGCATGTGGAAACAGCGGGTAGCCATGCAGGTCTTTCTTCAGGCTGAACGCCTCGCAAGTCGCAAGGGAAACCCTTGCTGGTGACCATGGCAGTGGCTGATCCGTAGGCGAGACTGGGGCTCTGACGTCCCCAGGAATCTCCCGGCCATTTTTCATGTACCTCACAACCCAAGGCTACATGAATGCAAGTGCCAGGGGCTATGGGGAAAACCCACCAGCTGCCTGGTGAACATCAATTATTCTTTCCTAACGTTATGATGGGTGAAACGTCAAAGTCAAAAAAAAATAAACGAAAGAATAAGTCCGAACAATTTGTCAAAATGTTTCAAACCCCTTGCCACTGCAGCATCATAATCCGGCCCGCGGCACGTGATGGCACGTCGATCCAAATCCACACAGCAAGTGATGGCCTCAGCCAGGGCCAATTGAGCAGCAAGGTACGACCGCAGGGTGGAAAATCAAACACCAAAATTTAATCTAAAAAACCTCCTGACATCTTCCTTGATGCGGTTGACATGGCGAAAGAATGCACTTGCGATGCATTTTTTTGGATTCCGAAGAAGCCTGCCAAGTGACCAGCAACTGGCTTCTCCCCCAACCCAAAAAGACCAAGATTGCTGGTTTTTAGTGTCCCCACAATTAACCACACTTTGGACCTCCCAGGTCCCCCTGGTCCCCTTGTTTTTGTTCACACGGACGGCGGCAGCACTGTGGTGGCGCCCGGCCCGCCCTTGGACGGCTTCTGCGCCGATTGCTTGGCGCTCTGCACGTAGCGCTGTCGGATCTGTCGCCGCTCGGTGGTGGTTTTTCCGCCACCGGGGGGTTTGGGCGCCTGGAAGGCCTCGGGACGGGAGCCAGCTGGAACCTGGGATCTGAAGAACCATGGTGATTGACCCAGGTAAAAGTAGAAATATAGTAAGGATGCAGAATAGTTTTTGGTTTCTTTTTGGGATTTCTGTTCTGGTACCATTTGCCTTGTATTTGCAACAGTTTGGACAGTTTGGAACTAGAACAGTTTGGAACTAGAAAAAAGGTTGAAGGGTGTTGGTCGCCCGGGGGTTGACCTTAACAGCACAGAATGACAACAACTGTTCTCAAATGTATTGCTGTAGGTTAAATATGGTACTCATTGCGCATTCTCAGATACAAAGCACCAAGATGCAAAGGCATCATCACATGCAAAAGTAACCAGAAAAGAAAGGAAAACACTGCATAGAAAAAGAACAAGCTGAATGAAGAGAAGCATCCAAGCAGAAGCCTAGAAAATAAAAGAGGCAGAGAACCATAAAGAACCCAAATGGCCAAGAGAATGCGAATTACAAGCACGGAAGCAAAGAAGTATACAAACCGGAGAGAATAAAGCAAAAGAGAAAGAAAAGCAAAGAGACGGTAAAGAAAGGAAGCAGAGAAGCAGAGGAGAAGGAAGAAGTAGAGCAGCAAAAACACATGAGAAGGGAAGAAAAGTAGAAGTAGAAAGGCACAGAAGCACAAAAGCAGAAAAGCAGAGAAGTAGGAAAAGTAAAAAATGGAAAAAGCAGAGAAGCAGAAAAGCAGAACCATGAATAAAAAACAAAAAAACAAAACCTGGCCAAAGGAAAAATAGCCATAGCCCTCCTTACAGTAATGTACAGCATATCTAGCCTCAGGTCCAACCCAAGACAGCTTGCTAAGTGGGATGGGCTGGGGCAACGGTTGGGGGGACCGTGTCTCTATGGATTTCACAGCTGTTTTTGGTGATTTCACAGCCGTTTTTTTGGGGGGCCGGTGAGTGGAAGGTGAATACAACATTGATGAAATTTGACGGAATTTACAGGCGTAGTGTGTATACAATTGTGATGTGTGTTGCTGCAGTTTGGAATAAGTCACCGGGCTTAGAAGCTGACTCCCGCACTGTTGAGGTCACCCATGTAAATGCACGGTCGGGCCAAGGAACGTCGCATCAAGAAGTCCGTCATTCTTTTTCAAGAAAGAAGGACGTTCCAATTGCATACATTTCTCCACTCAGAAGAGTCCAAAGTATCCATTGGTCCGAGCATCATGTGGTTCAGTTGATCAGGGGGGTCCAAATCACGGAGAAAATTTGGGAGGGCATACCGGATGCCAGTCTTCCAAATGCATCTGGAGCACATCTGATAGCCAGTCCTGCAAGCCTTCCCAGCCTTCTTGTTTTGCTTCGTCAATCCTCAGAAGGCTGGACCGCTGATCCTTGGCCTGATCCGTCAATCCCCATGATGGTCATACTGTCACAGTGGCAGTTCGAATCTGAGTTCTTCACCCTAGTTACTTTACGATCTTTGCGGCCATTTGACATAACTTCTGAAAATAAACATTCGAGTAGTTAAATCATCGAACTAAAGGGGCCATGGCTTCCAAATGTTAAATTACCAAATGCATCCAAATGCTACCCCGTTCTAATTCCAACCACTTGGGCCACTTGGGTCTATCCACTTGAGCCCAAAATCTCTGCACCAAGGATCAACCGTTGCACCTCCTGTATCCCAGATCCATCTTCAGTCATCGACGTGCAGGACACAATCCTGACACGACTTGGGAGGGCCACTCAAGAGCCACTCGCAATACGTAGTAGCCACACCCACCTATATACTGGTGGCCAAAAAAAGATAGAAATTAGATGGCAGTTTCTTCCCCTCCGGGATGGTGTAAGTGTAGATAACCTCACAATTTCCCCTTTTTCCAACTGTTTCATAGTGTTTCCACATCCTGTTTCCCTCTATTTTGCCACTTTGGCCACATATAAATGGGTATGGGTCAAAATTAGGTACCCCAATAATTATGGATGGTTAATACTAAACTAGACATTTCCATCTGTGGTTCCCTAGGTCTTCCATTTTGACCCACATCCAAATCAAATCCAGTCGTCTCCTGTAAACCTCTTGGCCCATTTCCGTCAGCCGTCGATCCAACCGCGCACGAAATCTGTCAGCCCGCTCTGGCCTCGACGGCTTGTTGCTGGCTTCCCCAGAAAGCCATGGGGCTCAAGGTGGTGCCCCATGGTTAGCTAAGTTGGTGAAAAAAACTGGGTTGACTGTGGTTTATGGTAGATATATATATATACTTAATAGGTGCTATAAAGCAGAGTATAACTGCCGTGCAGCTACCAAGTTGTGAATGTGGAGATAGTCTTTTATGCTCATGAGTGGGGCTATCTACCAGCTAATTTCTGGTTGTAAATCCAGCTACACCTGAAAATGTCTCATCCAAATAGCCAGCTCAAGCATGTCGTGTTTTTGCACAAGTAGGGAAAATGACTGGTACAGTAGTGCCTTGGGAGACTCCACGTAATTAATGTGGTAAGTGCGACAACAACCACGCCCAACAAACCACGCCCTATTGACCCTAGTTTACCAGTTGGAGGGTATGAAAACGATAGCCGGTACCCAAGCAAGGAGTTTATAGCATTGGTTCCCACAACACATCATTTCTTCCGAAAGAAACCAGTGGACCGCTAAACGCCCCGAGCGACTTGCAAAGGTCCGTCTTTGTCAAGACTACCACGTAGCGAAAGGGCATCATGCCACATCTCGCCCTCTCAGCATCACATCTTTGAAAGATTTCCACCAACCTCAGTCACTGTCAGCCTGCTATCAGGATGAAGTTGAAGGGCCTTCCTAATAGCCAAGTGGATCATGCCCAAAACCTGCTCTTTTGAACCAGCAATAGTACGTATTGGCCAACCACAGGCCTGTCATCCAATACACAAGGTCCACTTGCCCAGTTTCTTACAGTAGATCGTCTGACGTATCGGAGCATGAATCAAGAACCATGCGAAGTGGATGAATATCCTCAAACTCACCAGAACCTCCCAAAAAACAAGCGCAGCAACGCAGTACCTCTAGATGTTCACCCAGTTGTTTTCCTGACATAAATAGGCATCTCTCAATTTGGAGAGAAATCCAAACATCCTAGTCATAGTGTCAATAATTTAACACTATAGATCCTACCAAATCCCCATAAAATTGATGGCCTTATCCCTTCTCATCCGTTAATTCCCTCAATGTGTAATGGCCATAATTTGATCCAAACCTGACCCACTTTCTCCATTGCGTTCAAACCAAGCCTGCTTCAGCCGTATATATGCATATGTACGTACACACAACGCAACACACAACACGTAACACACAACACACACAACACATAACACATAACACATATATAATCACACATATGTATATGATATATATATATATAACGTGTTTCACCGCCCCCACCCAGTCTTTTCAAGTATTCTATATGTGCACGTTTCAGAGATGTTGTGCTGTGCACGTTTCCCAGCACTTGTGCACGTTTCACAGAAGTTGTGCACGTGTCACAGAAGTTGTGCACGTTTCACAAGCCCTTTAATAACTTTCGTGTTCAACTGTATACACACTGAGCGCATTCTAATCAGCAAAAGCATTGGGGCGACCAAACACGTTCTCTCGATGTATATTATACTTGAGGCCGGGGGTGGATGACGAAAGCTAGCGGGGTAGGAGAAAGAAGGAAGGGAAGAGGTGAGTTGCGGAGGGACTGTCATCATCGTGTCGCGGCATTGTTCGTCCCAACGAGGATGCAACAATGATATATGATATATGATATATAACAATGATATATATGGGGGAGGGGGCAGGGGGGGGCCCTTTCGTGGGAAAAATCACGTGATGTCCTTGGGGAGCCCCGGAATACTTGCTAAAGCAAGAAGACTCTAGCGAGCTGACGCTAGCTTTCGTGATAATGCCAATAATTGCCAATAATGATAAAATGTAATTGAATAACGATGATGATGATGATGATGATGATGATGCTGATGCTGGTGGTGGTGGTGGTGGTGGTGGTGGTGGGGGGGTCCCCCCCTTTCGCGTGAAAAATCACGTGATGTCCTTGAGCAGCCCCCGGAATACTTGCTAAAGCAAGAAGACTCCAGCTAGCTGACGCTAGCTTTCGTGATTTATATATATAGAGAGAGAGAGAGATTATAGATATAGATGCTTATCATCCACAATCTCCCCATTTTGAGACACGGCCACTGCTCATCCCCTTCGGAGAGTCGGCCCTTCTGCTCGCAGCTGATCAAGTGACACACCATGCTGATGGCCTGGGTCATATGGATCCCACGGCTGGGTTAACAGTTAATAGCGGCTATTGGTTTATAGTAGGTCATAATGGTTCATAGTGGTTACTAAATGTTACTAATGGTTGATCATGGTTAATAATGGTTAGAAATGGTGCATCTTGGTGATGGTTGATTACCCTAGGGTAGAGAAACATGTGGAAAAGCCATATGGTTTTCCTACAAAAATGATCCACATCGAACTGTGAGTTTACCCGGTAAATGATCCAAGGGGAATCATTTCAGTACTAGATCCCCAAAAAATAAATGATACTCCGCTAGTATATAGATGATATGACCTATTCAAGATATGTTTTCAAAAATGTTATAGATGTTCCATAGCTATGTTTTCAAAAATATGTGATTTTCTATAGCTATGTTAGGTTACCAGAGGGTACCGGCAAAAAATGGATCTCTGCCCCTAAACCTCAAGCAAAAAAACGGAACAGTGAGAACTCTGACTTGACTCTAACCCTGCACATGATATCGCGAGAGGCTAGATCAGTGCTAAGCACCCTGACACTTTGAGCCGAGATCCATCACCAATTCTTGATCTATTCCCCTTTTTGTAACTTGGAGAATGGAATCAGAACATCAGGAACCGCGAGATGATCCACCCAAACAGAAAAAATGAGAACGCATATCTCGTCATCAATACAGATCGAAACCTTTCCCAACTTTTCCCACCTTCCTTGGCCAGTCCTTTTGTTACCCAAGGCGCCCGGCGCTCGCTGATGAACTTCTGTAGCACAGGGCCCCAGGTTTGCAGGCGCCGCGCAGTAAGGGAGAAGTCCACGGGACCCAAACCGAAGCAATCCACCAAGCAGCATCCTCAGTCTGCGAGCAACCAGCTGCAACATATGCAAGGGATGAGGAATTTTGAGGAATTTTGCCGCTAATTGATTTGACGGCTAAAGCAGGTCTCAAAGGTTATATGATAAGCTGTGATAGATGGGATATTCCCAGTTATATCTTCCGATGCAACGGGTTGGTTCATGAATAATTCACCGTTGAAACCCTGGATTTTACGGTTGGTTTCCTCTAAATGTTCCAACAAAGCAATTCCGGGACAAAGGCTTCAGATGGGGGGCTTTGAAACCTGTCTTCCGATGGATTTGATTTAGGGTGCACATGGGTGTACAAAAAAAATGTGTCATAAGCCGGTGATAGATGGTGCATCCCGAGTGATATGACTACGTGCATATGTGTATGTTCATATATATATATAGTTACATTCATCATCATTCATCACTAGATTTCATTGCATAAGTATATATAGATAACTATAGACATGTTCATGCAAATATGTATTTGCTTAAAAATGTGTATACATGCGTATGTATATATTTTTATATGAATGCCTCCGAGTGTAGGATACAAATGAAGACTCTCTCTCTCTCTCTTGCATTTTGGTCGCCAACATTTCAGAGACTTTTTGCGGTGCAACAGCCCCATGCAGTTGGGATTGCAGCCCTGGTCCTTGACCATGTCGAGTCAACTCGGAGGTTTCGTCGTCACCGCTCCCGGCACCCAGCCGTACACATTTCCGGCCCAGCCTCAGTTGGATGTTCATCTCATGCACCTGTATAACCTATATAGCCTGTATATACCCACCAAAAAAAGGTGAAGAAAAAACGTCGCAATGTATCTAAGGAACCGATAGGCTCATCAAAGCCGATGGGATACCAGTTGAGGGTTCGAGTTCGCCCACCCTTGACGGATGTCGGAGCGGCTTTCTTCAGGCCATTCGCACCTGGCGCTGTCATCCAACTCCGATGGAAGCCGGAAAAATGGCCGAGGCACAAAAGTCCTAAACATCCTCGAACCAAATCTGAGCCATCCAGCTGAGGCACCAAGGATTTCATTCAACAGAGTGCTCTTTCCAGCATTAGAGCGGCCAGAGAGCACGATCTCAGGTGCAGCCGCTTGGGGCACTTGCCTCGGCCCCGCGTGGATCATTGGATTGGTTCAACTTGGAAGATCTAGAGGAAACGATTGTGGATTGATGCCAAGGCTGCAAAAGGGCCTAAATATTGGCAGCTCCTACAGATGTCATCCAACTCTGGGAGTGACTGAAAACAGCAAATACTATGAGACAGTTTGAATGGAAAAGGTTCTTGGGCCTTGGGATATAATTGTGAAAATCCCACATCCCAAATCTGTTGGTCCGTGTTCCCAACTTCACCCATTCAAATCTGTAAAGCCCTATTTCTTGCTCAAGTTGCAGCCCACCGCCAAGCCACCAGATATATCTCACTTTGGGCCTGTCCCCCATCAGCGTCCCATCCTCCACCACCGTGGGGCCGTCTTTGCCCTTGGCCCAGCGCCGGCTCGGTCGCCGGGGCCGGGCACCAAACAAGAGAAACGAGGAACCACCTCAAGTGGCTCGGTCCAGGGGGGTCCAGTTTCCGAAGATTGCGCAGATGTGGTGGGGATGTTTTGGTAGCTTCAACATTGTGCATGGTTTATGGGGCACTCCCTAGGTTTTGATACAGTAAACTCGAGTGATCCATGTGGATCCGTCCCCACAAGGTCACTTAAGGTCCATAAGCCACACGAGAACTGATTGATATAGATGGAGGCGAAAAAAGGGGGGAATGGCTGTAGCTGCCATCAACCATGATCTTAACGGCTGTCAAGGCTTCATCACTAGGGTTGATGGCAGTGCCTTTCCTGCCACCTTCGAATTCTAAAGACTGTCAGTCCATGTCAATCCAAGTTGGTTCACTGCTTAGGACGGCCTGGCAAGCTCCAAAACCCTGGCACCCCTGGCAACTTTGGCTGAACATCCGAAGAATCGACAGTCTATTTGTGGTTCCCAACTGTTCCAGTCGTGGCTCCAAGTGTTGCGATTCCAGCTTGCCTGGCACAAGCGGCACCAGCCGCACCAGCGGCACCAGCAGTACGCCTAGCCTTCTCCAGTGGCTGGGCGCGGCATGGGTAGATGGAAGGATGTGATGCTGAGATCGGCCCCAGCTCCATGTCTGGGGTCTCTCTTGAAAGCTGATGGCAGCAGGTCTGAAGATCTGTTCTATCGGAGGGGTTGATGAGTCGTGCCCCCCAAAAAAAAACTCAACACAAGTGAAAATTGGAAATGATGACAAACGATGACAAATGTCTTCAATTCTCCATCCAGAAAAAACACCTAACAGGCATCCCCTGAGCTCAGCGTCCACCCTGAGGGCCCAGCGTCACCCTGTCCAAAAGTTTGGCCGTATTTGGTGAACCTCAAGGGAAAAGCGAAGACCTGTCAAGGGGGAACGCGAGCATTCCTTCTCACTAGGGAGGGGTGAAACAAAATCAAGATCGTTTATGATGTCCTAAACCATATGCATACATATATACATATGTTGGGGATGATGCTGTTCACACCCATTTCTGGTAAGTCATTGGGGATAGCTAAAGAGGATTTGGAGTTTCCCTCACACCAAAGCCCCAAATCTCGTGCCTCAAGAATAGAGTACCAATGGGCCTACAAATGGCTGACAACTTTGTAGGACCTCGAAGAATCCAATTCCGGGTGCAAATTATTTTTTAGCCTCCTAAATTGGGATGCGACAATGCCATATGGAGCCATATTTTGGGGGATGGATGAACATCCATTTGCCATCCATTTTGGTGTTCCCTATGCTACCAGGGTTTTGACCCATGGCCGCATGGCCAAATCTGTGAAACCGCACTGCCCAGCGTTGGATTTGGTGGCAGCGCCGCCATACCCGAAGGACCATCTATCTGTACCTCGAACGAGGCACGGGAATCATCCAGAAGTTGGAGGTACTTCACGGCGGCAGTGTTGATTGTAGGATGCATGTACATCCGTCCATCCATCCATTTATCCAGCTAGCTATCTAGCTATCTATATAGCTATCTAGCTATCTATCTCTGTATCTATCTCTATCTCTGCATCTATCTCTACGTATATCTATTTCTATCTCTATATCTATAATCTATCTCATTCCTCTATATCTCTTTATATCTATTTATCCATTTGTTGATTCGTTTATATGAGTCGCAGATGGTCCGAGAGTTGGGCAGGGACCAGCGCCATCTTTCCCATCCCAGCCCACATTGACCATCAGCACCATCAGCACCCCGCCAGGCCTAGTTTCAGGGTGGCCTCTGCACATGACCAGCCTGGGGCGACAATGCCGTGCCATCCTGTCGCGAAGATCCAGATGTCTCTTCGAAGCCAGGCCTATTCGGAGGTTTCCTCCGGTTTCATTCCACACCTTGGCTGAGGCTTGGGACCAGCGGGACCTGTGAATTTTTTTCAATTGCAACCCTGGGCATCAGGATCATCTCAAGGTGTCTCTATCCCAGATTATCGCCTCCAAATCTACTGATCTGCCAGGCAAACAGCAGAGCCGGCAGAGCCCGTCCGAAAAACGTGTCTTCGAGTACTTCTCAGCATGTTTTTACTTTCGGAACTTTCGAGTATCATTGACTTCCCATTTCTTACAATCAATGTGTCGATCCCAAATCGGAAACTGATCACACTGCTCTTAAACGGAATATGGATGCGGCATGCGTATGTGAGTCGAGCTTCGGCACTCCAAAACATGGTTGGTTCAGGTTCATATACGTCGCAAACAATGCAAAATAGCGCGAATAATTCTATATTTCTGACCTTCCAAAATTTTACCCCCATGTTATCCCGTTTTTCCATGTTTTTCCTATACCAAACTTCCAAAAAATGGCAATCCTCAGAAGTCGACGCAGAAGGCCCAGCGTCCGGACTCGACCACACCATGGGTGGCTCGCACGCCCACCTGGGGACTTTGTTGGAAAATTGCTTGGAAAACATGGTGGAAAACGTCGTTTAAAAATGATGAACATCCCAAGTTTGAGACATTCTGCCAATTTTGGGAGCTATCATGTTGACCCTCAGCCGAAAGCGCCGCCAAGAAGCCCACTGTCCACCAGACTTTCTGTTGGCCTGGCGCTGTGGCGTGGGTCATCCCATTCCGATACCTTCAACTTGGATAAAAAGGAAACACAAAAACAAGAGTCTGCAGATTCTCCGTACTGAACCTTGGTTTCTGTGAGACCTTCCAGCTACTCCATTTCGCAGGCTTTGAACCCCGATAAGCAGGGGCTGCCAACTGAAAAAAAAATGTTGCTCCACAAAGAGCACATGCCTTCTGCCGACCATTGAGCTCACCTGGCGGCCAACAGAACGGCCTTTGGAATGGTTGTATGAAAATCAGATCAAGTTGGTGGTATACACCCACTAGAATCAGATTATGTATATTAAATATATCATATATCATATATATATTACATTATAAATTATATATATATATATATTATCCTATATATATATTATGCCTATGTTCTTGATGGCAGAAAGTTGCATCATCTCATGGCTGGTTTCATCCCCATATCATCGAGATAGTTCATATCGGATATGATGGTGATACGAAAATATGGGATAGATCAGGGTAATCCCATTCTTAACAGATAGTTGCACAATATTCATCCTAAACAAATCCAGCAATAATATGCAATATGCAATAACCCCAATCATATATCATAAAGATTCATTAAGGATTCATAAAATCTGCATAAATCATATCCGAGGACCCGAGGTCGCGGCCCAGCAAGGCTAAGCCATTTTCCCGGTCCGCCGGGTTCAGGCGCAAGCCCGTGGAGACCATGCTGTGGGTCCGACTTACCGATTTCGGGGCACCGATTTTTCGGGGAAGTCTGTTGAGTTCTATTGATATATGCTTTGTAGGATGTTGCAGGTGATTTATACCTGTAAATTACACATTCTTTATTTTATATGTGTGATTTATTTGTGATGTATTCTTGTACTGGATTTTTGAGGTGGAAATGCTGGAATTGATTGGGTCTCCAGCCTACACTTCATAACAATTTCCTAGATCATATAGATTCAAGTCAAGAACCATGATGTTTGATTCTGTTTGATTCATTTTGATTCATTTTGATTCCATCACATTTCCGACCTATTTGGGACGTCTAGCATTGGAAGTTGGATTATTTGGATTGAAAAATATTCCGAAGCCAAAGATGGTTTCATATTTTGGCCCTTTGAATAACAAGGCACTCTTCCGACATTTAGAAGTGTGGAAGTGGCTGGTTGGAGGTCATGACGGTCATGACAAACCTTTTTGCAGCCATCCGAAACTCTGGCGACACTCCGTTGTTGGGGCATTTTTTACGATGCTGTTCAGTCGCCTCTCTAAAAACAGCTGCAGGCAGGTAGAGGAATGTCCATCCACATCAATATTCATCATGCATCCTCCCGCTGAGATGCCCCAATATAAAAAACCGCTGGGATGTGCCATTCGGAACTTCCCTTGGTTTTTTTCCTACGTCTTATCCTTCCAGAGTCCATGGTCACATTCCCTATTCCCCTCATCTTTGCATGTGGGGTCATTTTAGTCTGCTAGATAATTGATGTCATGATAGATGTTGATTTTACTCCTAAACTACAATGAGAATGATCTCTCTCAAAAAAATTGCCAGCTCTCACAAAAATCTTCTGCTTCCTGCTTGAAAGAAATGAGTTAAAACACACAACTGAACCTGGCTGGGGACCAGATTCACTCCATGGCACCTGCCGTTTTTACCACTCAGCACCTGCGCCACCAGAGCTTTGCTCGACGTTACCACCAAGCCGTAGCTGGAGGTTCCCATTCTACGGATCTGGGTAAAGCATCATTCCGTCAGAAAATTTCCCCAGGATCATCTGATAAGATTTTACTTATATTATATAAACATATATATATATATATGTAATGTATATGAATGTGTGTGCACACATATGTATTAGTTATTATACGTATCTATCATCTGGCTCAAATTCTCCCAAGGATTATCAGATTCGCAGCTACAGAACCAGCCACCTTCATCGCCGCCTGCCGCGACTGCGGCTGTCCCGGGCGCGGGGTCTCCGATCGCGACTGTCGCGGCCACGGTGATTTCGCGAACGCGCGCGACTGTCCCGCGCCCGGTCTCTGGAGCGGGACCGCGGCACGCGTGGGCGACTAGGACTCCTTTTTGGCAAAGGATTTTGTGCGGAGGGCACCAACAGGAATGTCCAAGTTGTTTTTTACTGCCGTTTGAACCCTACAGTACTCTATAGTCTCGGTGGCATGTCATTTTCGAGCATTCCTACCTTGGCTTGTATGTAAGCAAGAGGTCTTCAGTGGAAATGATCTGGGATTTGTAAGGATGAATCCAAAGCAAACCAACCCAGCAAAATGCGGGACTTGAGTCTGCCAGACCTATACATATACATATTTATTAGATCTAATCATCTGGCATGCCCAACTGTGGGCACAGCGACCTTCATGCTGCTTCTCGGATCCGTCAATCATCCATTGAATCACCGGTCACCTTGCTTATCCCAAGAGGGGAAGAGCCACCAAAAAAATGGTCCGGTACAGTTGAATCCACTCAAGTAAGCCTTTTCCAAAAATGCAACAACCCACCCATCAATCAACATCAACCAACATCAACCAACACTCAGCTTCAGATGTATCAAATAGTCAATTCCTGATTCACCAAGTTGGACAAATCTTCCCCACTCGCCCCAAGGGTCAACCACAAGCCACGGTCACCATTGGTCCTCCTGGCAGATCGAGAAGCCTTGCGCGGCGACCGGATTGACTCACGCAGCTCCTGGCTTATGGGTTGGTTTGATGGAAAATGTGCAGGAAAACCCTGTTTTTTCCTATCAAAACTTGCTGTTTTCCTGTTTTCTTGCTAGGGCCAGGGCGTCCAGGAAATTTGAAGGTGACAGACAATGCACAACTGGCATTGGTGATGGTTTATCATCGTAAATGGGCAAGTTTTGGGTGTACCAGATGTCCAGACCAACCCCCTCCAAAAAAAACTCTATATTTTCCCATCAAAATCTTGATTTATGGCTGATTTTCCCATGAAATCTCCACTATCCTGACGTTCGCTTCGCTCCACGCTGGGCATCGACACCGGCATCGACATCGGCGGCGACGGCGACGGCATCGGCGAAGAAAGCGGCCCCGGGGCAGATGGCAACGCTGGAGGGGCGGCACTGCTGAAGCCCCCGCTGAAGCCTGGCTCCAGGGATGTCAAATCAGTGGGGATCAAAAAACATGGTATCTATTGGTATCTACTTACAGTAGTCCAAGAACCGAGGAACCCAAGTTGGCTGCGCTTTTCTGAGCTTCCGCAATGAGGTTTGCCTTGGCACGCCGCAACACAATGCATCGCATCGCAACGCCAACCTAGCAGTCGGCTGCGATAAATTCTGCACTGAGGCTGCGGCCACATTTGTTGCTTTGCTGAGACCCACTTGCACATCGTGGGAATATTTGCAGGAGTCACCACCTGGGGCTGGGGAAGGCCAAGTTCTGTCAAACAAATATCATCAAACTGAAATATCTGATGCAACTACCTTTGTCTTGCAAAGGTCGTAAATCCCATGGCGGGCTCCAGGTTGAGACTTCAAGTTCACCCTGACCTGGGTCATGCCCTGGGCATCTAGGCTCCCCTGCGATTGCAGTGGCCACGGCGATAGTTGGCGCACAACTCCCGCGCAGCTCCGATCGTTGTGCCTCCATTGGACCATCCGGTAGTCATCAAACGGCTGGGAAATCCAAGCGAAATCATGGGAAAACATGTGAAAATGCCCCGTAAACTGGTATTTCAACTGGTATTTCAATGTATTTCAATGGTTTCCATAGCCATCTTTCATTCATTTTCATTCTACCACCTGCAGTTGTGATTATGACCTGCGCCTGGACGCTGCAGCACAAATCCACAACAACAACATATGGTTCAAAAACCCTCTAACCAAATTATATCATGATCGGCCTTTCACCGACTTTCATATTTTTTCCTCCATATTTGATTGCCCAACTCTCGTTAATTAAGCCACTTAAACCCCCCCATTTTGTTTGGGTGACATCCTCCCAATTTTCTTGGGACCTGCCCAGGCTTCGGTGCCTTGCTCCGCATTGATGGCTTTCTCCATGTCGCTCAGCTTGACGATCAGGAAGCCGGCAGGATTCCGCGCTCTGGACAAACAACTGCGGTAGTCCTGGATATCCTCGGCGCCCCCAAAAAAAAGCCATCTGTCCTGAGGGAAAATCTATGCCATGGTGTATCCCACACAAAAAGGAAATATATATATATATATGTATATATCTGTGTGTGTGTATGGGATTTGGAAAATATGGGGAAATGGATCCGTCCATCCATTGTATCCATTGTATCCATTGTGTCCATCCATCCATCCATCCATCCATCCATCCATCCATCCATCCATCCATCCATCCATGGCAGTTCAAGAAGGTTTTGATGTTGGACCTCAACTTTCAGATCACAAAACTGGATGTTTTCCCAGTTTGCAATCCTGGTTTGGGCCCATTTCCTTCCCAGTGGTGGGTTCCCTGCAATGGCAGCTGCAGCCCAGTGTCTGCGACCCATCGATCCCCTCGATGCTTCAGGGCCTCAGGTTTTGCACAATTCTTGAGCAAAAAAGCGGATGATCGCCCACATCTTGAGATATATAGATATATTATAGATATAGATATAGATACACAAATATCTAGCGAGATCATATGGATGACAATCATAGGAATATATAGAGGATAATCATAGATAAGCATATGTGACAATCTACCGTGATAGGGGATTGCACATATTTACGGATGATTGCACATGCATTAGCAGAACGGGTCCTTATGGGGGATTGATTTTTGGACTAAAAATACTCAAGAAATCTCAAGAATACTGGTATTTACTGTGTTTTGTGCCAAAAATAGGCTGAAAATTCACTCCCCCATGGGAACCCGCTCTCTATATTAAAGATCAGATAGGTTCAACTGGGCCAAAAATAGGCGCACCTCAATGAGGCGGAGCTCGATCTTTTTGTCTCTGATGTCGAAGCGGGTCACCAAGTTTTTCACCTGGCTGGCCACGAAAAAATGGAAAAACATGTGGGAATATGAGAATTCACCAGCAGAATCCGGTATCCAGTGAGGCTTTTTTGGTAAGCCAAATGGGGTTACTAACCCCCCAGCACTAGCTGTGAAAAATGCTTAAAAATGTGATGATTAAGCAATGCAAACAAGGGAATATGATGATTACATAGCTAGTGGATTTGGGGGATACCGCTTTCAGACATGGAGAAATATGAGGATTAACCAGTTGTCGGAGGTATTGACAAATGTTCAAACAAACCCAAATAACGTAAAGTTCTTCGGTGTCGGGCTGTGCGCTTCCAAAAAACACAGGATCTGGCAATCCAACATGGCAACAGATTCAGAAACGGCTTCAACAAAATATGTGTTTTCCATTGTTTTCCTCCCAATCCCCTGATATTCATGATATTCTCAAAGCTACAAAATAAACTAAATAAACCTGATCTGAGGTGTTTCATGAAGTTTCATCGGAAAAAATGGGAGACCTCTAAAAACCCGGATCTTCCCCGGATCTTCCATCACCGGACCTCGGTGGAGATGTCATCCGCCATGGGCAGTCCTGGAGCTGGCCAGTGGCGGCCAGTGGCATCCAGGGCCCGTTACCAGGGGTGACCCATGTAAAAAGGACATTTGCGGGAAAGATATGGAAAGATCGTGAAATATTCATCTGAATCTTCAAAAATCATCGATCATCTGTCTAGTTTTCCTCTCCAAAGCGCAGGTTAGCGAGGCTGAGAGAAGAATCCAGCAAAAGTACAAAAAGTGTATACAAGGGGGTGAGATCTATCTCTAAGCCTTTCGGCGCATTGTCAGAGACATTGGAGCTTGAATGAAATCAGGGAAAAGGCGAAAAGGAATTAGCAAAATACAATTCCAATTGAATCTATTGGCAGGGCAGGGAGAAAGCCTTATGCTTTTCGCTGACGATTTTCGGTGACAATTTTCTAAGATGAATCAGAGGGGGGGGGAAACTCCCATTCTGTTGTGCGCACGGTTGTAAATGTCAAATGGGTGTGGTTGATTGAGAATTTGATAGGCATCAGCATACGTTTTTTTTAATCATTGGTGTCGAGATTTTCCGGGACCTTTATCTCCTACAACCCCAAGCCACGGACCTCCAAAGGGACCGTCATCGCCATATTCCTGCTGTTGCATCTGCCTTGGTAGCCCGGTGTCAAACCTGCCAGGTGTTGATCCATCCCCCATTTTTTGTGTTGCCTGATCTCCCATACCTCCCCCATACCTCCCATACTTCCCGTAACTCCAATATGATCCAATGTTTTTTTGGTGGTATTGAATGTTTGGGGGAATGAATCCATCCGGCGACGGTCCCAGCATGTTCCAGCTGAGTCACTGGTATGCCAACAAGGCAGCCGAGTCCAAACTGCTCTGGCTGCTGGCTGCTGGTCCTGGCCCCCAAAGACATCCCTACACCTTGGCCTTGACGTTGAGAAAGTGGTCTTGTGTTGAGAAAGTGGTTTCTGAACCTTCCTTCAAGCCATAAACTCCATAGGCCCCGAATTCTCATGAATTTTCAGGGCAGCCCAGGGCAATAGTGGAACAGCATCACCGTGCCTTTTTGCATGTCAAATGTCGTCCCACTCAAAATCATCCAGCCCACTCCACCTGTTCCACCGTTGGTGACCTGACAATGGCTTGCACCAGAACATCTTCAAGTCTTGGATTCCCATGGGCATCTGGCAAACGTGTCTTTGCGTTCCCGCCCAAAAGCAGCTGGCAAGGCCGGCTCGAGCATTCCAAAATCCCATCATGAACATGAACCACCAATTTGGGATGGTCAATACCATCTATGGAAAAAAATTGGGGGAACTACCACCACAGACCACCCATCTCTGGTAAATCTGGGGATTGTTTGTTGGGACACATTCTCCAGTTCTGCTCAGATAGACCAAGGAACTGTGCCCTGCTTGTCAGCACTGGCACCTGCTGGTCTGCGTGCGTATCATATATGATATATAACTATCATATATATATATATATACAACTGAGATTAAGTGGGGATATCCCATACAACTGGGGTATAGCTATTGATATGCTATGATTGTAAACCATTTTAGCATCAGTCACTGTAGTACCACATCCGTGGGCCCCTTCGCCAAAATTCCGTCAAGGCATTTGCGGATCTAAGATAGCCAGCTACAAGGTGCTAGCTGGCTAAAATGGTCACAGATGCTTTAGGGTTACGCTCTGGTAAACTAACAGCTATTGAAAATGGCCCAGTCGAAATAGTGGATTTGCCCATTAAAAATGGTGGATCTTTCCATAGCTATGTTAGTTTACCAGAGGGTATAACCACCATTTTCCTATGATTTTCCCATAAAACCACCATTATTAGGGTACTCAATACAGCGGTGAAGTTGTAGCACCAGCACCTGGCCCGGGGACATCCACCCCACCTGTAAAGAGACGCGGCGACACCAATGAGGCCACATCTGGGCGCTGTTCCAGGGGGACGATGTCCGAAATAAATGGGGCTGCCATATCGGAAGTAAAGAAAAGGGAATGTCATGAGCAATAATTGGAGATATAAAGGGATATAGGCAACAGTAAAGTGGATATATATAAATATATATAATAGGACGTATGTTATTCAATGGTAACATTTGGGACGATTCATCATCAATGGATATAGATGGGGATATAATGATGGAATATAACACCGTTTTCTTATCACCAAATGCGCAAATTCAAAACGCATAATTCTGTACCATCCATCAGCAATGGGTGTAAGGGTAGGTTGGGATGAAGCATCCATATGGATATGTAATGGAGATACAATGGGGATATAAAAAAGGGATATGTGTGTCTGAGTTTGGGGTGCGGAGTTTGGGTGCCCTATGTTCGAAGACGCCCGTATCAGGCCGTAAGCACTCGACCAGTTCAATCTGCTACCTCGATTAAATTTGAGGCCAAGGGGTAAGGGACGAAAGCTAGCGAGGAAGGTACAGGGAGAAGGAGGAAGGTGTGGTGAAAGAGCGATGTGTGTGAGGAATTGGGAGATACGAAGTGGAGAGTAAGTGGAATGATGCCGATGAGGCTGATGGCTACCATATGGCAACGCAGTGTCGTACTGTCTCCTCCAGCGGTGACCCAGTTGTGGATTTGGATATCATGCACATACAGTATCCACCATGTGCGCACCTTTATTTACGCATATTATATTATATATATATATATATATGTATATTACATACGAATGGTAGAAAACAAATAGGTTCATTTGTAGCTCCTTAGATATCCCATAGACTCCTTAGTCCCAGCATGGAAGTCATGCCTTGATTCAACTATCCCAGCTGCGCGCCTTTGATTGGCGGTATGTTGGCAATCGGTGCAGCCTTCTGTGGCACTCCTGAACAAGCGAGGCAGTCTCGAAAGCAAAACCCGTGGGTACATATTTTACCATATGGTGCCCCATAGGTAGCTAAGTTGGTTTATAACTCTTAAATTTTAGATATATTAAAATATATCTAGATATATCTAGCCTATACCTACTATGGTGTATAAAGCAACTTATAACTGGGGGGGCACCATCATGTACAGTATATTATATATTTCACATCTAAACAGCCACCCGATTGTACCAAGGTCTTTGTTGGCACCCAAACACCCCAAGGTCTTGTGCATGACCGTCCTGGGCCAGGAGGGCCAGGAGGGCCCGGAGGCCAAGAATTTCCATATGGATTCTTGGGCCCATCGGCCCAGCCCCACTGGTTCCAGTTTTCACTCCAACCTTAGCCGTGAACACGCAAAGGCCGTCCGCTTCCAGCTGTTTTGGCGGAGGAAAAAAAAAGAATCTGGAAATCCAAAGAAGAAGCAACACATGGAATATCATGCAATGGTTTTGCGAACCTGGAGACAGTATGTGACGTTTTCAGAATAGACAGGGAAAATTGCCACTTTCCCATGCATGGCAGCTAAGGGTGCATTGATCTAACGGTGGATTGGCATGTGAAGAGTGTAGCGTGACCCAAGCTGGTCAAACTCAATTTTCGCACAACGTCACGTTGTTTTGTTCTCACGTGGGTGCTGCGTCTGAAAATACTGTTTTTTTAACCCCAATCTATATACCCTCTGGTAAACTAACATAACTATGGAAAATCACCATTTTTAATGGGAAAACTCACTATAGATTGCCATTTTCAATAGCTATGTTAAATTACCACCGGGTATTGCCATTCAATAATCGGGAAATGATGATGGACTCGGTAGAATAAAAATTGCTCGACTGCACCCGCAAAAAAGGACCTTCGGCGACGCCACCCCGCCAAACCCTTAAAAAGGGCCCGAGTAGATTTACGCTCTGGCAATTTAACATAGCTATGGTAAATGGCCCATTTACTTGGAATTACCTATTTAAGATGATCTTCCATAGCAAACTGTCAAATTGCGAGGGGGTAGTGTTTTTTCCCTAAGTCTTCAAACAAACATGGAAAATCCAACTGGCTGGGGCCAACTTCTTTTTGACCTCAAGTATCACCTGTGGTCCGAGGTGCCATCGGGGCCTCCTACCCAAGTACCATCACATCCTGCATCACAGCTACAGTTTATTACTCTTAGACGGGCAACCACGATGCTAAACCATCCCCAATATATCCAATATCATAAGTGGCTGGGGTTCAAATCCTCCCCAAATGGTAGGGGCAGGCTTATCATTGGGTTTACTGCAATTTTGCAAAATCTATGAGACCCTGTTTTCACAGAGTTGTATCTTTCTTATACACAATTAAGGGCCACAATGGGCCCAGATGCTCAACTCCCGGGTGGCTTTAGGAAAAATGGTGGGAAGAAGCAAACACACCCTATCACCCTTGCACCTGGTCCACCCCACATGGCATCACAGCAGCGATGCCATTCTGGTTGTTGCAACAATACAGTTGGTCGAAATGTGATGTCATACTGTAATATCCTGGGTATATTTCGATATGTACAGTATATCGAAATGGTATCCAGGATATCCATATTTATAGTTATAATTATATAATATGGTATCTATGCGAGCCCACTGCTACTGATCTTTCGTTCAGTCGAGGGATATAATCAGTCGATATGGTCATGATTTCTGCGATATGCGATGGTAAGACTGTTCTGGACAAGTTGTACCGGCTGTATCTCCACATGTTCTTTGTAAGCCAGACTCATCATACATGCTCCCATGCAACCACAAATAATGAGGAAATAATGAGATATACGGAAGCATTAAATGGTGGATTTAACATTATAAACCCCATGGTAAATCCCATGAGTACAACCACTCAAAATCATGCGGAGCACAGGTGACAGTGCATGGTGAAACCCAGATGCCCAGAGCAATACCTGCGATATGTGTCGTATATGGATGCCTGTGGGTATGTGAATGCGTGTAACAATGAATGCAATGTCTGCAATGCATCTAATATTAATGTGATGCATGATGTATTTAATAATATGTAAGATTGAAATATATTCAACCTAATTGTGCAGTGAATGAAATGTATGGTATGGTATGTTATGGTACTGTATGGTGTGGCATGGCATGGTACGGTAGCATGGTACGCCACGGCATGGTACGGCACGGCACGGCATGGGATGGGATGTAATTAGGTATTATACGCAAACTGTTTTCATGTGTGTGCGCGCCCACACGCCACACAGCCGAACCTTTTTTCTTCGCAGAACAAACCGGTCCGGCCAGATGTTGATGCAATTGCAGGTTCTGCAAAAGCCATCACTAGCTTTTGGAAAAGGAAACAGCCAGGAGTGTGGATATGTTTTGACCACGGCCGCCCAAAGACAGGGATGAGTAACGTACGCATGACCAATCTGATGAGCAGATTTTGACTAGAGCATGCAGGGTCCAAAAATCAAAAAATCCACTTGCCGAAGAAGGCCATCATCCCAAAAAGATCTTTTGATTGAGATGGATTGAACGACTAAAAAGGGACCCTTGGCTGCTCAAAGAGCTGAAAGCTCAGACACCTCGCCTTCACTCTCATCAGACTGGCACTCGTGAACACCTTGCAGCTTCCACCTGGAACAAATTGAGACCACCAGGCGTGGATTTCAAATGACGTGCAACACATGTGTCTTTGGGTCCTGGTGGCCATCTACGTTGCCACATTGCGTCGCCCATGTTGAAAGGGGTTCGGCAGATTGGCAGGTTGACAAAAGGGATCAAAAGATATCAGAAGGGCACATTTGAACCACCTCCCACCTAGCAAAGTTCAACCCTCAACCTACATCAACGTAGCGGAATTCCCAAAAGCCAACATTTTTCACCCCAAAAGAACCAGAATTGGTGAACTTTCGTTCCGTGTGCTCAAATCACCCAACCCCCCCACCATGGCGATGGCCACGGCGCCTGTGTTTTGGTTTCCCCACAACTTTCAAGCCACCAATCTGTAAGCACAGCTTCCGGAGCATCGGCTCGCTACTGCCCGCGGATGCCGGAGGCGAAAAAGCTGACACCTCTACATCTCGCGCTTCCACACACCTTTTGGCGTCATCCTGCAGTCTCAACCTCAGCTGGGAATACCCCAGATGGAGTTTACAGGGCTAGGTGGGTGGTCTCAATCCTGAGGCGGTCATTGGCTTGACCTAGTTGGATGTCGGATGATGATGATTTTGGCACATCGTGAGTTCCTCAGCAAAACCCAGCACACCTCGGCTTTGGAACCTCGGGTAAAAGGGTTGTAGAGCGTTGTGGTTGGAACCCTGTGCGCTTGTCATATTTTCAACTCAGACACTTCGTCTTCAGGACATCTTTCTGCTGTGCGGCCGACTGCATACTGCCAGCTGTCAGAGCAAACTCTCGCAGGTCAGAACGCACAGTGCCCCAGTCTGTGGGCCGCACGATGCGCCGCAAACTAGGCATGCTGCAGTCGAACTCATCGCCACGTCGGATGAAGCTCAGGTGGGCCTGTTCCACGTCCAGCAAGGGCGTGCTGGCATCCACCAACAAGGTCATTTCTTGCAACTCTGGGCAGATTTGGATCAGCGAATTCGAGGACACCTGAAAGCTGAGATGCTGGGCGGCATGGGGCGCCCTGATTCTACACACACGTGCACAGCCGCGCATGAACTACATATTGGGGCAGTGTGACCCCCGCTGGGGGATGTCGTCGCGAGCCGTGCCTGCGGTACAGAACGATCAGAACGTGCCACGGAAGATCCAACGCCAGCTGTCTTCGTTCCTTTCTCTTCAATCTGCGGCAGCGCTGGAGTTGAGTCTGGCGCCGCCTCTGCAAATGCCTGCGAGGATAGGCTGGCATTTCCCAAAAAACATTGAAAGCAAAACAACAGGAGCCTTGCGCACATGAGGAAGGCAGAAAATGTTTTGAAAAATCCTGCGCCAGTCTACCAGTTTGGCTGAAACGACCACTGAAACGACCGCTATCATCTATGCTTCTTACACTTGAGAGTGCGTCGAATACTTGCATTCTCTCCCGAGACCAATTGTCCCCGTAACATGGCCAAACAAAGCAAAAATTGACAAAATCTCATGATCATGGCAACGGCCAATCAGCTCAAAAATCAATCCATCAAATGAGGCCCTACTAGATCATGAATACACAACTAAGAAACCGTCCATAATCTTCTTCATAACCACTGCTACTGATACTGGCGATCGGAATCTTATCGGGTGATCGTTCAGGAGGAAAATACAAAGGAGCACTGTATGGTTCAGGAAGGCGCAAGAGGTTGAGAAACCTTGCAGCAGTCTACCAGTTGGAACTGCCATTGGCAAAGGCTTCACAGATTCCAGGCATGCCCATGCCCCCATGGCAAGGCCTCTGGTGGAGCAAGTCTCGAATCGCAGTCTTCTCTGAGGGCAACCAAATGGTATGTTTCTTCTCCTGGCCAAACCCAGGGAAACTCACATGAAATGCATTGATGCGTGGGGACAAGCCCCAGAGAATGCTTGGGGCGTACTGGACCATTTTGGCACCTCACTTGGGGAGGCATCTGGACAGATTGAAAGGCCTCAACTTTAGATTCGCGGCCAAGGCTCCAAAAAGGTGAGCCATCTTCACATGGAACAAATCCACGCCGATCCGATGTCCAGCACCTTTCCTGGGCCAAAGCATGCATCGTGGGTACCATTTACCCTCTGGTAATTTGCCACAGCCATGGAACTAGTAGGAATTTCAACTAATGGATGAACCCTTCTACCCTAGACACTAGCCCTGGAATTGTTTGCTCCGAAAAAGTTCAGTTTGGACCTAGCCCGCAACCCGCCACTCAACAGCAAGAACGCACTTTTTGCGCGCGTCGGCATTGAAAAGGTCTTTGCCCTCCGGGCTCAAGGGGGAGGGCGGGTGGGCTACCTTGAGCCCAAGCTACACCGGGTTGCTACATTAGTCAAAACCTAGAGCACGCTACACTAAGCTCCTACAGTTTGGACCTAGCCCGCAACCCGCCACTCAACAGCAAGAACGCACTTTTTGCGCGCGTCGGCATTGAAAAGGTCTTTGCCCTCCGGGCTCACACCCCTCCCTTGCCACTGTACAGCTGGAGTGGCTGCCGCAAGGACCGGGCGTGAAACACGCCTCGGCCGGCAGGTGCACCAAAACTGTGTGGACGGGCACGGCTACGTGGGCGTGAGGCTGGTCTTGATCATGGATTCCGACATGCCGCGGGAATACTCGCGGTCCTCCCACAAGTAAGTGTGGAAGGCGTCGGATGCCCACCGCCCGTAGCGCCTGACCACAGATGCATCTTTGTAGGCGGCCCAAAGTGCTGATGCGCCGCCAAATCGCAGGGAGTGCGAGCCCAAATGGCCTGCAACTCCACAGGCTTCGGCTGCGCGACGCAAGAGCATTTGCACAGCCTCCCTCGGAATATCCCAGCCTTCAGGCGACCTGAATAGCGGCTCGTCGGCTTCAACGCCGCCTAGGTATCGATTCGGATACTTCTGGAAGAGTTGCCTGACAGCCAGGACTGGGCAGACGGTTTCTCCGGTCTTGTAGTGGTTGCGGTTGGTCTCCAGATTGTAGTTGGTCTTGCTTCCACTCAGTTGGATCCGGACTTCGTCTGCCTTTCCCAGGGTGCGAAGATCGCACTGTTCTCCCTCACTGAAGAGGAGTACCTGCCTCCCTTTCAATTGGCGAGAGAAAGGGATGTACCCCAGGGGTAAAAATTCTGATGCCCTGAGTAAGAAGAAGAACCCCAAGCACACAGCTGCCCAGAGGATAAGACCCTCCGGGCCCGAATCGGGGCCTCGGAGATATCTTTCCAACCATTGCAACATGCGAGGTGTCACAGGTGCTCGCCTGGTGGGTGTCTTGTAACGTCTCCTTAAACCTGCCAAAGCCATTGCCACTCGGTTTCTCCCTTCTAATGGATCGGGTAGCCCCAGCGTCACATGAATGCTGCGAACAGCAGCGAGGCGTAGCTTCAAGGTACCCGGAGCACGCTGTTCATTGATAGCGCAGTGAAGCAAGTAGTCAATAATAAGATCCTCGTCGGTCGGCACACCCGTTAGGAGCCAATGCACCTGGCGCCGGGCGCAAAACAGGCGCCACCATTTCAACTGCGCTGCGTATGTCCGACGGGTCGTCAAGGCTAACCTGTCCAAAGCCACGTTAACAGCTTCTTGTTGATAATCTTGCCGATTTTTTAATTTCAGACCGAGCTGCGGGGCTTTGTGCCCAAGGAGATCTTTGACGGCCTTTGGGCTCCGACAGGTTTTGTCACTGATCCCTTGTTTGACGGCCGGCGTTTCCTTTGGGTTTGAGTCGTCCGCCAAGCTTTCCAGATAAGGCGAAAAACGTACCCGTCGGGCACTAGAGTTTCCCACCCGTCTTTCGTTTCTCTGCTCCAGCGGGGCCTCGTCCTTTCCCGTCTGCCAGCAGGAGTGCAAGACTCCTAGAAGATAGAACACGACTAAGAGGAGGAGACCGACTTCCCCGTAGAAGAGGTGCGCGACAGCATGGTTGGTGTCCCGGCTGGCGTCGTCGACCCTCCGTTGTCGAGTTCCCTGCCTGGGGTTTTTGCGGGCCGTCTGCGTGTCGGTCCCGCTCTGGTGACACAGACATCGCTCATAGCGGACTTGTCTGCGGCCTCGGATGTGACCGCATCCTTCTTGATGCCATCTTTCGCCACTTAAGGTGGCGTAGGCAGCTCCCGAAGGCTGCACGTGTCCTGGTTGCCCGGCACAATCTTTGCACGGCTCAACCCACCGGCCGGGGCCCGGCCTTGAACATTCGAGTTTGTGCCATCGCGGGACCCCCTGCGGATCGGCAGGGCCAGCCTCCAGACGGATTCGCCGTCTGTAAGCTGGTTCGGCTGAGGGAGGTAAAGCCGGAACCGCCGGGCTCGAAGTCAAGCCTCGGCTCGCCCCGGGCAAGGTTTCTGTGGAGCCGCCCACGGAGTAGGTGGACCCCGACCCCGAGCTTCGGAGCGGATCTGGCATTTTGTTGCTCTTTCCTGGGCCGGAAACCGGTCCTCGGGAGCTCGCTTGTTGCCCTGTTGCAGGACGGGTTCGCCCACAGCGCCACAGAACCAGGCAGACTCCTACGGTGAGGAGCAACAAAACTACCACCGCAATCCCAAGAAATTCAGGGTGTGGGCCTGACCCATAGTTTCGCACAGCAGGCCACAGAATAGTCTGCCGCACAACCATTTCCCCACCAAACTGGTAGGCATGTGCGATGGCATGATTGGTGTCCCTGCTGGCGTCGTCGTTCCGGCGAGTCTGACGCCTCAGCTTCTTTACCTCCCTTCGTTTTTGTGAATCTGGGGCTCTTCGAAACTTCTTTGGTTGGCCGTCGGCCTGCAACAGCGAGGCTTTGAAGTCCCGGATTTCTTTCCGCGCGGCTTCCTTACGAACCTCTTCCGCCTGCTCGGGGGATGTGAGGGGCTCTGCAGAGGCATGAGCTCCTCCTCCTCGGGTTCTTTCACGATGCGCTTGCGCCCTCAGTCTGCCCTTCTCTCGGCGCCTGGCCACCCAGACGCCGACTCCCGCTTCGATTTCGAGATCGAGCCGGGCAGACTTGAGGATCTTAACGGACTTGGAGGGTCGCACAGGATTTTTCTTTTCCAACTCCCGCATGTACCTCCCTTGGGCGTCCAAGGCGCTCAGGTAACCTTCATCCTCTTCCTCAGCGTCTTTGATGCGCTGGATTTCGGTCTCCAGGCTTTGTTGAATCCCCTCCGCAGCCGCCTTTCGCTGCTCTGTGAGCCGCGACAGGTCGTCCACCAACTCCTGTTTAATTGACCCATCTTCTTCAGCTTTGGTGAGGGCCTCCTGGAGGTTCTTCCAGTTGGCTTCATCAGCTCTAGCTACTTCCTGCAGCAGCCTGAGCTTTCCAGACCCCAGCTTCACCAGGGGCCGATCCCTGGTCGGGGCGGGGATGTCCCTAGCCTGAGAAGGACCGGCAGTTTCTCCGCCATCGGTCTCCCCCTCGCAGCGTTCCGTTTTCAGCTCGGGTTCGCTCGGCTGGACGGTCTTCCCGGACACGATACGTGTCTCGGGATCCCGATCCCTAGCCATAGAGAGGGTGTCCTTAGCCCGAGGCAACCCCGCGGTTTCCTCGCCCTCGACCTCCTCTTTGCAGCTTTCTGTCTTCAACTCTGGTTTGCTGGGCTCGACGGGCGCCTTGGGCACGGCAGGAGCCTCAGGGCTCTCTTGGCCCGGCAATCCTGCCTGGGTGTTGGGTCCCTCCTCGGCGCCCTTGGAGGCAGGCTCAGGCTGATCAACAGCCATAATAGCTTCCCCAGATGCGGCAGCCTGGGCTGGGTCGTGAGCCGGTTCATTGAATCCGACGTCATCCTTGGCAGGAGGGATGGATTCCTGAGGAGTTTCACCGGGCTCGAACCGAGCCTCGGCTTTGACCGCGCATGATTCCTCCAATTGTTTTAAGGGGGCAAGCGCTCCTTGGATTTCCGGATCGGAGGCTCCCCAATCGGGTTCGGAGATAACAACGACATCTGCCTTCAAGGTGTCCGGGTCGACACTGACCTCCTCCTCGCCTTCTTGGCAGGTCAGGCCAGCGACCGCTGCCGCCAAGTCTGACGCGGTCTGGGCCAACTCCTCTCTGGGATCCCTTTCTCGGGCTTTGGACGGGGGCCAAGCTATCGAGCGGTATGCTGCGAGGTTGAGTTTCGCAGAATTGCGAGGCTCCTCCTCCTCTATCCATTCATCAAGGCTCCGCTCCTTCTTGCGCTTGGAACTGGAACTGGGTTCCTCGTGGCGCGGCTGCACCGGCTCCACCTGACTGCTGGTAGAAGCATGTTTCAAATTCTTTTTGGATCCCCCGGCCGCATACCAGAACTCGGACGTGTCCCAATCCGAGACATCGCCCAAAGCTTTGGGCGGGATTGTCCCATTTGCCAACCAAACGGAATTGCCCGTCACATAGAACTCGACCCCTGCCTGGATGGCGACCTTGGTATCGACAGGGATTTTAACTTCTAAATCCGACCGCCATTTACCCGACGCTTGCTCGGGGTCAACCAGGTGAGCCATCCTTCGGTCGCCCCTGAGGCCGGTCTCCTGGATTGACTTCACATGTCGCCGGTATGTACCATGTATCAGTACCGGTGGAACATTTTCTGGGGCTATTCTGGCTCCTGGTCCGTAGACACCACTGATGGTGTGGCCAGACCAAGCTGCCACATATGGGCATCCGCCGTCATCCCTGACAACGAACCGCTGCTTGAAGTTCTCTTCAACGGCGTCCCGGATGACCTTCTCGGTGAAATACTTCTCCGGCCACTGGAGGCGCTTGCGGAGGTATCCCAAGAGGTCGGTCAATCTGACCCAACCGTCTTCAGAGATTGGGCAACTGTCGCTCCCTGATTCGTGCCTGAGGCAGCGGGCCATGCCCTTCGACAGCTCTTCTCGCCAATCCATCCTGTGGCCGCCCCTTTTCTGCTTTTTGCTTTTCCCTCCAACCTTGGGATCCCCCCAGCCGCGCTCTTGAAGCCACGACATGAGCGCTTCTCGCGCTGCAGTCTCCCAAGGTAACTCGCAAATCCCAACTTTTCTGTCGGCTGAAGGCTGGCCGGGCTCGAAACGAGCCTCGTCCTCGGCGAGCGGTCCGGGTTCAAAGCGAACCTCTGAGTTGGAAGAGTCCACGAGATGTCGTGGGGTTTGCGCTTGGTTCGTTTCTGCTGGAGTGCGCGGCCCAGTGCTACCCAATGAGCTAGCCCACTTCCCAGCCGTCAGAGCCAAACTACGGGGGGTAGCCAAAATAGACAACAGGGGTAACCTTTCAGCCACCACATCAGGGGGTAACAACTCAGCCCTACCGCCTAATAACCGGAAAATTTCCCCGGGCGTGATACACCTCGCCGCAGGTCCCCCCGGCCCCGACCCTAACAACAAGAGTGAATCCCTGCTTTGTGGATTGCCAGAGTTGTGGTGGAGTTGGGGGAGTGGTTTATATGGGTCCCAAACATGCCTACGAACCTTACCTTCCACGTACACGGTCCCTCTTGGTTTGGGGGTTGCCTGACCTAGATACGGGATGGAGGTATCAAGTTTTAGTTTCCCATCAACCCATAAACCGACCGGAACTTTTTGATCTTCCAGAAGCCACTCTGTTGGGTACGTGTGCAGCGGGGCGGTCTCCGGTTCATCTTCCGCGGTCAGACACGGAAGGTCTGGTATCGTCTTGTGCTGAGGGACAGCCAAAAGGACCCATCGTTTCCACCAACACTGATCTTGAAGCGTTCTGCCGCTGATAAGTACCACCCGCGTTTGCCATCCATGTTCTCGAAGCTTATTTTGAGCGCTTCTCAAACCGAGAGAGGAGATGGAGTCGGCCCAGATACCCTGGGGTTTAAGATCCTGGGCTTGCTGTGCAAGGCGGGACGCAGTAGCAACCTCGTCCCTTCCGACACAGTAAAAGGCGCAGGTCACTTCCCCGTCAGTCAATTGGTCGGGTTCCTGCATCTCCACACCCTTGGACAACAGTTCCACATGGTATACCCGAGGCTCCTGACCGAGCTCGCAGCAGATAATGCCTGGCCGTAATGGAAATTGATGCCCCTGGGGGCCTTCCGGATGCCGCCTTAGCCCTAGCTGCAGGGCTGCGGCTTGATCTTCATGGTCCATTCCGTCCCATAGGAGGGCCCGACGTGTCCACCCTCGGTCCAGAGTGGAGAGGAGGACTTCTGAGAATGCCCTTCGTTCCAGGTTCCACGCTGCCAAAACTGGCCCTTCTTCTTCGCGGGTGAGAGCATCAGCAACTTGGTTGTGGTAGGTTCGGATGTACTCGGCATGCAGGCGGAAACCTCCTACCGTTTCGAGCGCCGCTAACAGCTGCAACAGGAACCGAGCCGCTGGCGGGCCCGCCTGTCTCTTGGCAAGCCACGAAATAACGTTGTGGTTGTCTCCGGCATAGACGACAATCTTCCCTTTCCAGGACTTCCATCTTAAGCATGCCAGCGACACAACGGCTAACAACTCCGCGAGCGAAATCATCAATCCGTCTCCGGGCTCGGAACGAGCCTCGTCGACGGGCCTTGTCATTCCCTCGGCAGCTGCGAGCTCCGGATCATGCTCAGCGCAAAACCGTCGGAGGCGTTCCCAAACGGGTTCGGCCGGTTCGACCACCGCCTCGTTGGCCTCCCAATCCACGGCCGCCAGCTTATGGGGTGTTGCATCCCCTGACGCCCAAACAACTTTTTGACTCATTCCAGGAAAAGAAAGAAGCTCTGGGACAGTAAGGGCCGAAGTCAGGGGGTGTGTAAACCGGACTTCCCACTTGGAGCTAGCATCCACAAGCAATCTTTGGAGTTCGATTGATTCCCAAAAACGTGCCCAGATTGCCTTCTGCTGTAGCACCGTGCCCCTAGGTCTCGCGAATCCCCTTTCATCAGCTGGGCCTAGAAGGTCGTTCGTCGCCCCCAAGTAGGGGCTGAGCCCCGGGAGCACGGCCAGCCAAAATTGCTGGTTTCCTCTTAATTCCTGAACGAGTCGGAGCGGCACATGGGTGCACCCGCTGTCAAAATCAGGGAGATGCAAAAGATGGTACGCCTTTTCCAGCTTTGCTGCCGGGAGGCTACGTGTGTAGAACTGGGTGTCGTACACCAGTCCCCATATCAACTTACGACATTCAAGCTTACCTTCGAGAGCGTCCTTTGCAACGTTGATGCTCTTCTCCCCAAGCGTAGCTTTGGTCACGTATTCTGACAAGGCAACCGAGAGCTGCGGTCTGAAGCCCAACTCTGGTTCAATTAGGACGGTGTCGTCCATAAGGACAAAGGAGTGGAAGGGCACGCCATCCTCCCATCGATCGTTGTCCGGGGCAAACGAGCCATGAGCTGACTTGATGACACAAGCAAAGTGCATGTACTCTCCCGGGGCGCCGCACCAGCCAAACGTCAGAAAATTGTAAACCAACGTGGTTCCCTCTGGGGACTGGGTGAATTCGGCAGGAACATCTGCAGCGAAAAGTTTCGAATCTTCAAGTTTGATGGGGACCCATTTGAAAGCCTCCGCCACGTCCTTTTTGCTGAGCAGGATACGGATTCGGGGAAACCGAAGCCGCCACCAAAGTATTGCGCGGGCCACTTCCTGGTGCCGTGGTTGCAACGCCGGTGGATGGCGTGTCTTATGGCAGTACTCATTTATTGGAGTAGCGTCCCATATGATACGCCCCTTTTCGGAAATGCTGCGGTCAGGGTTCATTTTTGGCACTCGGGCCATAGGGACGGAGATTACCCCTTCCAACCCCTTGCCTCTGTCATAACAGAGAAGAGACCGCCCTTTGGCAGCGTCTTCCCAAAGCTGCTTGGCGGCCTCCTCAATATGCTCTTTTAGGCTGGGATGGGGGGCACTTTGCACCCTCTGGGTTTCTCCCAGGTCTGCTTCTGCGGAAACACCCCAAACGGCCACATGCCTGGCCCTTTCCAAAATAGCTGGATGAACAAGCCCCTCGAAAAAATCGCTGTGAAGTCCTGCTAGGTGATCCCCCTGCGTCTGGACCCAGTGTCGTCGAATGGCTCGCAGTGCCTCTTTCCACCCGCCCGCAGCTTCGAGGAGTTCGCTCCCTTGTTGGGCCGCCTGGGCGAAATTTTCCCGCGTAAAATCCTTGCCCTGGAAAAAGTTCAAGTATGCTTTTGCCGCTTCCTCCGTTTCCTTTTGAGGAGGAGTTTGCAATGGCCCTCGGAGCCCATACACATCACTTTTGCTAAGCGAAGAAAACAGCGAAGCCCCCGCCCCCCCTGCCCCAGCACCGTCCCAAAGGGGAGGGTCAGAGCTGTGTGACCAGCCCGTCGCAGGCTGGCCTCGGGCGCGAAACGCGCCTCGGGCAGCAGGGCCTGTGCAACAGAGGTGGCCAGAGCAGGCCCTGAAGAGGGATCCGGGAGAGGGAGCAAAGACGGCAAGGTGGTTTTAAGACAAAACGGAAGATCCGGAGCCGGACCGAGGAGGAGCCGAACCCGAGGCGTCGAAGCCAAAAGCGCGACAGCCGCTGGTTCCCGCCAGGCAGTGCTGGTCAGGTGGTGGAGCACGCTAAAGGTGCCCCCTAATGACGCTTGAATGCGGCACAATTCCAAGAGGAAGGCAAGGCAACGACGCCCACAGCCAAAGCTAGGAGAAGTGTCCTTGCCACGGGCTGATTCTAAGCGGCCCCAGCCCCCAAAAGGATGGAGGGGCAAGGTGAGCCAAAGATGCCGCGAATGGAGGAGAGTGACAACAGCCCGAAGCTTGGAGCGAGTGGCCCCGCACCGGAGAGCAAGATCATCCTGGATGGGAGAATGGAAGGCGAGACCCCCAGCTTGCCTGACCCCCGTGGCCACGGACAAGGGAGGAGGGGCCAGGTCAAGGAGATCGGGGCGAGTTCCGTCGGGGAAGGCGGTGCCGAGCCAAGAGGCCAAGTCCTGCCTGGACCAGCACGACGGATCGGGCTCCGTGTCATCCCAAGAAGGCGCCCCGGCGCGAGTGGCTAGAGGGGGCGGCGAGGGGAATGGGTACAAACCAAAGACGCCCGACGGGCGGCCGGTACGCCGATGTGGATCAGAGTGGCATCGAGGGCAGGGTTTGGCAGCACGGGCGCGAATACGCGCCCCGTGCGTCAAGGCTGCTTCAAGGTGGAGTTCCCAGCCTGCGGCGGTGACGACTCGGGCGCCTTCGGGCAAAGCTTGGTCAGAAGGTGGAACAAGCAGGCGCATATGTCCTTGATGGACCAGAAGCCAGACAAGGCTTCGGGGCGTAGCACAGGATCCGATGCCCTGGATGACTTCACAGGTAACACGGCGCCAGTCGTCCATGCGGACCAAGCAAAACGTACGCTCTTCGGCTGCAGACAGAGGCAGCGCGGCCAAGCATCGATAATCTTTGTCGTGTCCGAAGTAGAGAGCATCATGCGCGAAAGTCCGCAGATCGTCCTCTGCTTGGGTGCACTGATCGGGCTCAGGCCCCAGGGCTTGAAGGCAGTCCTCCGCCGACTGGTGCATTTCGCGCTGAAGGGCCAGCGCCTGTACACAGGCCTCTTCATAGGTAGGCGGATGTCCTGACTTTCGGGCAAGTAAACCGGCCGCGACATGGAGAAAGAAACATTGCCTTGGTTCCTGTGAGGGATGCGGCTCGTCGTCCGGCAATAGTCCCGAGTGAGCTGGGCTTAACTGGTCGCCGTAATCGTACACATGGTAAGAAGTGTCGAGCCAGGTGAAAGTTCCAGTGGAGGCACCCAGGCGGCTGTCCATGGACAGGGCGCTGAGTGCCCCGCGATGTGTGACAGACCCCACGCGCAGATCCGGGTAGGTTTGTAGGAACTCGGTGGCCTCAGCGACCAGCTCTGCGCTTCCTTCCTGTAAGGCTTCGTCCAGATATCGCTGGATATCGGCAGCTTGAGGTTGGTCGGTAGCATCGGATGCATCGGCGAGGGCCCGATTCCGCAGGTATACACCCAAGTGTGGGGGTACCTCCGGCAACTGCAAGGCGTCGTCGATGATTTCCATGCGTTTTTTCCGTTCCACAGCCTCCGGTTGATCGTCCGGAATGGTAAGTTTGGCCGTGCGCACCGCAGGACCAGAGTGATCTGCAGTCCAACTGGTCTCCGCCTGGCCGGTCATGAGCAACGCAAGTGGTCCTTCCATATCGGTTGGCGCGAAGTTGTTTAAACCTTCAGGGGCAGAGATCCAGCCAGCCCTGGTTTCATTGCGGTACTGCGTGTGGCTATCTGGAGCGTCACCTGGCTGCCCGGCTGCCCTTTTAGAGGTCTCCCGTTCCTTGACCCTTTTTCCTTCCTGCACGTTGGCAGCTAGTTTCGCTGCCTGCTCTCTGCGGATAGCTTCAATTGCCGCGTCGACCTGGCCGGCTTTCAGTTTTGCCCGGGCGGGATGCCCGCCTCGGCGCAATAACTGCATCTGAATGCTCCAGTCGAGCGTGTCCCAGCGCGGAGCACTTCCGGTATGCGAGTGGGGACAGTCCTTACCCTTTACGCATTTGCGATGGGAGAAGTGATCCCAACAGAGGTATTTACCGGTGCGATCCTTGGGACGATGGTCCATAGACCGACTCACTTCTTTCTGCGTCAGCGGAGACCCAAGCAGTTGACCAACTTCTTTCTGTGGGGCCCCTGGCTTTGGAGCGGTTTGGCCTCCGGCCTTGACACCCTCTCCGAGACTTCCTGCTGTGTCGTCTACATTTTCTCCGGCTCTGCCCCCTGCCAGGGCGGGGCGTTTGAACGCCATATTCCAGCAGGCCCGATCAAGAAGCCGTTTCTGACGAGGGACGATGTCTGTTTGGAAATATTCCCCCAAGGCTTGCAGGTCAAAAGTCTGGGGCAACCTAAGCCAGGGCGTCCCGTCGGCTCCCGGCGATGTAGCAAAAAACCGCAGTCGGTCAAAACTGGGACTCTCATCCTGCATTTCTCTTCGTGCTCCGCGATCGATAGTCCTGAGTTCCTCCACGAAGCGGCCCCAAAGTTCTTCCCAGGTGCTGAGTACAGCTTGCAAGGGCCAAGCGTGAGTATATTCTTCTCCGAGTTTGAGGAGCTGCGCAGCCGCGCTTTCCCAACTTGCGTAAAATTCGGCTCCAAAAATGCAAGCCAAGGCCCAGGCTTGTCGCAAGGCGTTCCTGTACCATCCGGTAAGGGTGGTGGGGTTTCTCCCCCGTTTCTCGAGTTTGTTATCCCCCGGCGGGGAAAAGAGGTCAAACTCTTCTTCAGATGTTTGTGGGAAATCTGCCACGCTGAGGCAGTAATCCGGGATGGCTCCCTTGCCTCCAATGTTGAGAGACGAGACCCCGAAGGCAATCCGGTTACTGATGTTGACTGGGTACCCAATTTCTCGGAGAAGGGGTCTGTTCTGCGAAGCCATGGATCTTAAGGCGTGGTATAGGTCCTTGCCTACCGTTGCCTCCCCAAGGTGCACCGTGAGAGTGTCGCACCCCCGTGCCAAGAAGACCAAACGTTCTTCTGTCTTACCGATGGAAGAAAGCTTGCCCCGTTCCTGGCCAGAGGGTTCGTCCTTAGAAGATATGGCCTTTGCAATAGTTTGCAAGGCCTTAGAAGCTTCATCAAGTGCGGGTGGCCCTGGATCGGTGTACGCTCCAGCGTGGTAAGGTCTAAAGGCACCCAGGCCCTGGCCTGGTGGGGAGGGCATCGCATGGGCCGTTCCAGGAAAAAAGTCAACCGCCCCCGGGCTCGGTACGAGCCTCGAGGTCGGACCACCGTGCCCCGGGCCGGAAGCCGGCCCCGGGACACCTGTGACTCCCGGCTCTTTAGGTCGGAAGAGGGCTTGCGCTACGGTCACCTGGGGATCCCTTATGTCGCCTACCAGACATCGCGGTACTGGATCTTGCAAACCAGGGCGTTGATCTTCGACCCTCTCCTTGGCTTCCAGAAGCGTGATGACCGGATCGCTGTCCTGGCTGTGCTGCCCTGAGGAAGAAGACGTCACAAACTGCTTGAGAACTCTCAGCGCTTTGGACGATTCCCCCCCTTTTTCCTCTTGGCGGGAGATGTATTCTTGCGCCAGCCGGCTCAGGTCCTTATGGAATTCGGGATCTTGCCACTTTCCCTGCGAACTTGCCAAAAGGCGCAAAGCCGATTCCGGGTCTTTACCCTGGAGAAGTTCTACCATCAACTCCGCCAAATCCGCAGGATCAGCCCGGGAGCCTGTGCCAGCTCGGCCGTTCGTCGTCACAGGCAAAGTAGCCATCGAGGGACCAGGAGCCACTTCCGGCTCTTTGTCCGTCCTGGGTTGCCTCCTTGATGTGACTTGCGGGGCGGCTTTGCTCCCGAGTGGCTTCTCCTCCTTTGCGCTGTGTAATTTGCACAGGAGGACGCCTTCCCTCCTCTTTGTAGCGGAATTAAGGCAACCCTGCACTGCGCATACCCTGTCCACCAATGAGCCCTGGTACAGCGAGCGGTGATATTCACAGGCGTGAAATCCTGTCGTCTCGTCTGCAAAAGTGGGTAGCCCATCGAGGCAGCTACTTGCTTTGTCCGCGCTGAGGAGACAAACCGGTTGTCCTCGTGCGATGTCCCGACACGGCTCCATGGCCAGCGAGGTCACCTTACCATTGGAATCAATAGCAATTTGATCCGCCTGGCACGGCTGATCCGCTGGGCCAACTTCTGCTTCTGATTCGGTTTCGGAATCGTCATGCCGATCACTTTGGCCATGCTCGGGTCCTCCGCCCGGGCGAGAAACTCGCCTCGGGCGCCTACGGCAGGAGACACACCAACACCAAATTTTTGCACACCGGACCAGGCTCTTGCGGCAGCACCCGCACCATAGGCCCCCACAAAAGCTAGTAAGGACAGCGCACCTACCCCAAGGTCCCCTTCCTGCAAGGTCCTGCAGATCGATTTCCCGATCCTGCGGTATCACCGAACTGGCCTTGATATGCACTTGTGCCGCTTCTGGCGCCGTGCAGGGATCTTGCGAGCACAGGTGAATAGCGCAGTTGGCCGCTTCCAAGTGGTGTCTGAAGTACCGGTGAGAGGATGCTCGTACCTCATTACAAACGCAAACAAACCCATGCCGGTTTGTGCGACCTCTAATTGTATCATGTCGGAGGCGAGCCACAGCCACCCCGTCCGCGACCAAAAGGTCTAAAGGTCGTTGATTTAATCCTCTCCCTCGCACCTCCCTTTGGACGTACTGTGCTGTCCAGGGGGTGCTGGTACCAGGCCCTTTCCACATCGGAATGTATGGCCTTTGGCCCTGCAGGCGTGTGACATCACTCCAGGTGCCTGTTCCCTGGCAATAACGCCAAAGGGCCCTGGAGTGAACCCAAGCTGGATGGACAACCCAAGTATAGGTCCAAACCAACAACTGCAACAGGAACACGATCACTACTCCTGTAAGCAACCAGTAACTCCATTTGGCCGCTAAGCCGATCGATGCGCAGAGAGTCCCGCAGTAGTGCAACCCATTTTCCGCTACTTGCAGGATAAGGTCTACCCAGATGCGCACCCACCAGAATTTGCTAACGGATTCAAAGGTTGCCTTCCAGAATCTGTAACTGGTTTCCTGTGAGTCTTTTGGGTCAGATTGCGCCGGGCGGGATCTCCCGCCTCGACCGACCCGGAACCAGCGATAATCACCAGGTCCCTCTTCTGTTTCTTGAGCTGTTCGGGAGGTGGTGTTTGATTGCAGACCCCACTGCAACAAATCCCATCCGTTTGCCGTGGCAGACGCGAGGAGGTACAGAACCCCCAACGCTGCCTTGACCATGGCCCCCCCCTACCTTGAGCCCAAGCTACACCGGGTTGCTACATTAGTCAAAACCTAGAGCACGCTACACTAAGCTCCTACAATATCACACCGGAGTTTCTGAGGGGTGGTATTGATAGAAGCTAATCCCCCAGCTCTGCAACACCGAGATCATCCCAGTACCTTAGCAACCTCTCCCATCAAGGGAACTACCCCAGTAAAACCGACCGTGTACTGATATAGTGGTATAGGTCGCAAATTTCCACTAGCATGTTGGATTACCAGAGGCTAAATTCTTCATACCCAGCATCAAGGACACTCTCAAACATGGAGGAGCACTCACAGGAGTGTCAGCATCTGTCGCCTTTCCGGTCGGCAAGCCGGATTCCGGGTTTTCCGACATGAAGCCTGCATCTGGGCTTCAAGCAGCGCAGAAGTTAAGGAGTCAAACCCCCACCCAGGACGGTTTGGAAGAAAAGTCCGCAAGAAACCAAAGGTGCCGATGGCAGCACTTTTGCTCGAACATGGTCTGTGTTCCACCTTCTTTGGTTGTAAAATTGCCTTTTTGGTGCCCAATATACGTGAAATGTACTTTCAAAATATGCCCAACAACATGGTTTAAAATTGCAAATCATGTTCCTCACATTTAAAACCGTTCAAAAAGGCAACCAGAAAAGCGCATTTCAGCAATGTCCAAAATGCATGCCGGTCTCTAGACCTGCAAAAAAACCATGTGAAACCAGCATCAATCCAAGCTGAAGACGCACTCAACTTCTCCCAAGTTCCATGTTATTGAAAATAGATGAAAATAGTCCAAATAGGAGTGGAAAAACCTCCAGTGGCAAACATGCTCACGGAGCCGTTGCAGGCCTTTTATCATTTGTGGCTCTCCAAAGTCTTTTTCCAGCAACCACTGCTGCCATTGCTTGGATAGAGACTTTGAACAACTTTCCAACAAAACAATGGATGCAAACTAGAATGTAAGTCTGCCTGTTGATGCTGTCTGTACCCTGTACGTAAATGAAACTGTCCAACCACAAATTTGCGGTTTAATGGAGAGTTGCCCGGTGTGGGCAGCTGTTGTCGCGAAGCAAGCTGAATAAAGAAATTATACAATGAATGCAGAAACCAACAAAGGTTCCCAACATCTTCAAGATGCCGAAACATCACAACCGAACTGCGTCGACTGCATCCAGGCAGCGGAGAAATCTGGGCCGTTCTTCTTCAAAGAGTAACTCTTCGAAACTTTGGTTGCTGAAGTCACCTGCTGTCATCAGCAATCTCCTGGCACGTTTCTGTACAAGGAGATCCCCAAGCGTTCGCAAAAGGTCAAGAGTGACCAGCGGGATTTTGGTACCTAAGTGCTAGAAGATGCTAGAAGTGTTGGTGCTGCTCGTGGTAAAGAACAAAACATAACGTGCAGGAGGATTTTCACAATCGAGAAGTTTTTGGCTTTTGTTCAACGGTCAAGAAGAGTGATCCGGAGATGATCTGGATGGTTTGCACAAAAAAACTAATGACGACAACTCGATGGAGTCCTTAGACACTCTGCTTTCCCAACCACGCGCAAATTGCTATCCAATAGAATCTCACCATCGCAAAGGCCGCGTAGCATCCTGAAACAAGTCGTGTTGCAGGATAGGTCTTCTTCACCACCCCAGTGTTTCTTGCAAACCCTTAGAGAAAGATCCCATGGCAACAATGAAGTAGACATTGTCCATTAAGAAGGGTCCGAACACTCCAAAACCTGCGCCGTCAAATCCGAAAAAAGTGCACCTGATACCATACAGGCCCAGCATCTGTCGAAAGCTAGCGACCATTGATTCGGAGTTAAGCAACATGGCAATACGCGAGCGGGTTGAGAATTCCACCAGGCCACCCACTGCCAAAATTGCGGAAGAAATCAAGATTTGGTATAGGATGCATGTGGTCACCTGGTTTGCCAAATTACTCGGCTCCATTGGCTCCATTCCCAGGAGTTCATCTTGAATTTTTGTCAGGGTGTTTGTCGGGGAGCTGTGTGCAAATCAAACACAAAATTCTCAAAAATGTTTCACCAAGACACTGTGCTGGGATTACGTTCCCATGTAACCCAGGTCTCATACAGCATGGACATGGCTTGCCCGAGCACTGTAGTTTTCATGTCTGCAGATAAAATTGCAATGGCATAGCCAGATGAAATTGCCACGGCTGAAGTCAGCAAAGAGCTTTCCTTTAGCACTGGTTTGATGCTAGCATCAATTGGACCAACAAAAAATACAAAAAACGGCCTTCAGCCCACATCGTGTCTGCATTTCATGAGACTGCTAAACCAAGATTCACCTATCAAGAGTAGATATACTTCCGAGTATCTCAATATCTATATGTCCCAGCAAGGGGTCCAAACAGTAGAAAAGAAATGAATCAAAGGGTGTTATCTCTGAACAACAAACCTTAAAGGAACTAACAAGAACCCTCTCCACAAGTCCCTGGAGGCACTCGCATGGCTCGAATGATCATACAAAGACATTTTCAAAGAATTATCTCGTAAAAACGGCCCTTCAATTTGGACGAAAATACAACAACACTAACCAAGGACACCCCGAAGGGACTCACAAAATCTTTCACGAGGACCCTCTCAAAGCTACAAAATTTCTCTACGAGGACAGCCCGAAAGAACTCACAGGATCTCTGCTGAAAATTCAGCCGATCCCTTCACAGCGCCTTGAGAGCGTTCGTGGCAGCAAAACGCCCGCCATGCAATTTGCACTCATCTGCACCCTGGAATTCGAATGCAATAGCAAAGAACATGCAACACCACACATCTAAAGTACCACTCCTGCCACGCAAAATGACCATGCAGTGTCCCGAACATCGTGCCTGCTACCACGCAGACGTATGCAAAAGTGGTGTCTTTGCCACCACGCGCAAAATCATTTCAAACCACATGATTGCAATTGTTTTTCACTCTTTAACACATCTCCAAAATGATATGACGTGTGACAGTTTTCCCCACAGGCACACATTCCTCTGCAACACCTTCCCCACAGGATGTTATTCCACCCCTTTCGAAATTTCGCCAAATATTGCGCTTGCCATATAAAATGAACGCCCCAAACAAGTTTTTCCCATGCAACACGCACTTTGTGACTCCTGCACGCGTCATTTAGATGCAATGTGCAAAAACGACGAAAATTGCCTGCAACCAAAAAAAATTAAAGGACCAGATAACCCCACCCACATGTCAATTTCTTCCAATAAGCACCAAACAAATGTGAAAATCATATGGGAAAGGCCGGAAAGAGAAAGGACACGGTGGAACACTGATTGTGTGAAAGGGCTGTGCGTGTGTGTGTGTGTGACAAAGTTGTGGGTGACAATTTTGTGTGTGAAAGAGTTGTGTGTGAAAGAGTGGTGTGTGACAAAGTTGTGTGTGTGGGTGACAGTGTTGCGTGTGAAAGAGTTGTGTGTGTGTGACAGCGTTGTTTGTGGCAATGTTGTGTGTGTGACAGACTTGTGTGAAAGAGACGGGTATGACAATTTTGTGTTTGAAAGAGTTGTGTGTGAAAGTGCGGTGTGTGAAAGAGGTGTTTGTGACAATATGTTGCGTGCGCGAGAGAGAGAGAGAGAGAGTCAGAGTCAGAGTCAGAGTCAGAGTCAGAGTCAGACTCAGAGAGTTGTGTGTGTGTGTGTGCCAATGTTGTGTGTGTGAACCATCTGAAAAGATGTAAAACTTCTACTTCCGATTTTACCTGTTCCTTCTTCGTGTTACTTCTGGCACGGGAAAAGATGTTAAACTTCTATCCCTGATTCTTGCTGGCATTATTTCATTTCATTTCAAGCAGGGGGGCAGTGAATCTCATTCCATCCACTTCCCAACGAAGACGGTGGTTTGAGATTGTGATATCGGGACTGAACATCCCGGCGTACCTGCAATTTTCAATCAATTTTCCAATTTATCGTCAATGGCAACCGGCTAAGCCAAGAACCGGCATGTGGTTTTTCAAACAGTTTTCCAACCAAACTTTCAGTTTTCCACTTGACGTCACTTCAATGCCTGTACGGTTTTCGCAATCTGTCCAGGAGGTAACGATTTGGCTTAGCTCTTGCTTCTAGCAGTGGCTTTGGGAATGGAAACTTCTTGATTCTTTCTCGGGTCTTGTCACGGACCCATTCCTGTCAGGTATAACTGGATTGTTTTTGCATATAAGATGCATTCCACATCAAAATTCGCAATGACTGTTCTGAGCAAGTGTGTGACAATGTGGAAGCGGAGGAGCCGAAGGGGAGGAGGAGAATGAGGAGGAGGAGGAGGAGCGGACCGGTGCAGAGAAAAGCAAGGAAACCACAGATGTTTTTTGCTTCCAGAGGGTTTGCCCTATCTTAGCACCACACAGAATGATGTGGGGAATCATCTCGCAAAGACGGCGCACAAGCATAACTGTCAGTTCACCTGGCAGGCTCAATACTGGGTGAAGTTTCGCGAGGTTTGGAATGTCGTGGTACGTGGCAGGCGCGATATCCTGCAGAGTTGCAAGGGTGATGCTGAAATCCGTCTTCCCAAAAGGCTTTACAAGACTATCTAGTAAGATTCTCTTACAACGGTCCCTGAGATGAGTGTCGTTTGAAGGTGTGCCACAAGAGTGTCCAACAGTCTTCAAAGAGTGTTTCATAGTGTTTCATAACAGTTCAACAGTGTCCTCAAAGAGTGTCTTACAAGAATGTCCCAGAACATTGCCTTGACAAGAGTGTCTTTCTCAAGTTTACAAACGTGTCTAACAAGAGTGCATTCAAAAGTGTCTCGCAAGATTGTTCCAGTGGCTAACAATGGACAAGAGTGTCAAACAAGAGTGCCCAAGAGTGTCTTAACGAGAGGCTCCAACAATGTCTTGCAACTGTCCTACAATACTGTGGCCTGCTCAGAGCGGTGGGAAAACGATCCGCCAACAATGCCCAATGAAAAACAACAACTGCTGACCCTGCACAAGCGCCATTCAGGATTCAAGACACAAAAAAGCGAGGGAAAAAAAAAGTGGTCTCCCAAAACTTGTATGTTCTCAGCCAAAGCTCGCAATCTCTTGGAATTTCCGACATGAATCCGAGAACCTCGAGATAGTTGCTCAACACAAGGAGCCGTATCCTTGTCTTGTTGAGCATCAATTTTTGGGCCGCGACTACATGGTATCCCAACCACGCAGCCAGAAACAAAGAAAATTGGAGCGGAGAGATGGAGGCTGGCTGAGACAGCATTCCGAATGACAACCCCAGGATGCATAACGCGGTCAAATGTACATAGATCCGGGCTGTTCCAAGGTACTGCTTGGCTCGGACGTCCCACACTGCTGCATCTAGAAGTTCGGTCGATTTTGTTTGGCTTCTCTGACCAATCATTGGACGCTGTAGCATAGAGATGATTTCCTGCTCTGGTCCAGCGCAAGTAATCCGATGGTTGAGACGTTACTAAATTCAAATTTACAAGCTGGCCCGTTGAAATCCTTTTTTCCGGTGGAACCAACTCCCAAAATTGTCTCAGCAACCTCTCTAGCTTCCCAAATCAACAAGATGCAAAGCTTAAACCACAGCAAATCCAAGTGAACTGGCCCATGTTCCCGGCAATGTGCTACCAGAACAATTGCTGCGCAAGCCAAAACGCTTGAAATGGTCCCATTGGTCAACATGCTCAAGGCAAGCTATCCATGACCTCGGCCCAGACAATGTCGCTTGAGCAATAAGATTCTGCTGCGATCGTCTTTGTTGGTTCAGATGGACAATAATAAAAACAGGCAAAATGCACACAAAAGCAATATATAATATATGCATGTATTTTTCCCCAACAGCGTAAGCTAAGGTGGTCTTCAGCCCAGAATAGCTCCGGTGTGCACTGGTGCAGGCGCCGGGTCAGGTTCAACGAGGTTCCGGAGAAGCTTCCGGAGAAGGTATGGGAAACAGGGTTCCGGAGAAGGTTCCAGAGAAGGTTCCAGAGAAGGTCTGGGAGGCTTTGGTGCAGAGCTAAGTCAGGTTCAAAAGGGTTCCGGAGAAGGTTCCGGAGAAGGTTCCAAGAAGCCTTGGCGCAAAGCCAAGTCAGGTTCAACAGGGTTCCGGTTTGGTGCAGAGCCAGGTCAGGTTCAACAGGGTTCTGGAGAAGGTTCCGGAGGAGGCTCCGGGAGGTGTTCAACAGGGTTCCGGAGAAGGTTCCGGAGAATGTCTGGGAAGCTTTGGTGCAGAGCCAGGTCATGTTCAACAGGGTGCCGGAGAGGTGCCGGAGAAGGTCTGCAATGGGAGGCTTTGGTGCAGAGCTTCAACAGGGTTCCGAAGAAGGTGAGGCTTTGTTTGGTGCAGAGCCAGGCCTGGTTCAGGTCAACAATGTTCCAGAGAAGGTTCCGGAGAAGGCTCCGGGAGGCTTTGGTGCAGAGCCAGGTCAGGTTCAACAGGGTTCCAGGAAGACTTGTTGCGAAGCCAAGTCAGGTTCAACGGGTTCCGGAGAAAGTTCCGAAGGCCTGGGAAGCTTTGGTGCAGAGCCAGGTCAGGTCTGGGAGGCTGTGGTGCAGAGCCAGGTCCGGTTCCAACAGGGTTCCGGAGAAGGAGCAGGTTGCAGAAGCCAAGGTCAGGTTCGTTTAATTCACGGAAAATCAGCTGAAGTGTTTCCAGCGCTTGGCTTCCCAGCACGCTTCAGAAAGATTTGTAAAAATAAAACGTTGCGGCCGTTGGGGATACCACCGAAGCTTATTCTATTCATATATGGTTCCGTCTGTTTCTGAATGTATGAATTTATCATGTTATCAGTCTTAAGTCTTTAAGTCTTGAATATTTATGTATCAATCCGTGCATGCGTTGTTGTGTATCAATGTTTATCATTGTGTATCACTGTGTGTGATTCTGATGGATCAATATCTTTGAGTGTGGGCTTGGTCTGTTTTGAAACATTGCTTTGAAGCTCTGCCAACGAAGCTCTTTGGGAACCACGGATTGGTCGCCGGCTGCTGACTCACTAACGAAGCTTAACATATTGTTGAAATCCGCCCACACCGCTTTGGCGGTGAAGGCGTGCTTATTGGGGGGAAACAGCTACACTAAATGCTCAATCACATTTGTTAATATAGCAGTCGCTATATCAGCTTTAGCTGGGGGGGGGGGGCCAAAAACGGTTTCGCACCGAGACCAGGCCCCAAAAACGGTTTCGCACCGAGACCAGAATACGGTGGTGTTTTCGACATTTTTCGAGGATTTTTGGGTGTCTGAGCGCAAGAGGGTATTGAAATGGAATTTTGGGTCATTTTGGTAGCTTTCCGGCAATGGAAAAACGGCCAAAAATGAAAAAAACATTGTACATAGCAAGATTTTGCAGGGTTTTTGGATGCCAGAGCATTGAAAACACTGCAAAAACAAGTGTTTTGGACTGACGTTATAGCAAAAAACGTGTAAATTACCGTATGCTTGACTGGAAACATTACAAAAACACTGTCAAAAGCAATGTTTTGGAAGGATTTACTGCCTTTATGGCAAAAAACGTGTAAATTACCGTCTGTTTGACTGGAAACATTGGAAAAACACTGTCAAAAACAATGTTTTGGAAGGATTTCTTATATATATGTTGGAGTTGGCTACCGGCATTGGCACATGGAAAAATTGAAGAAAACACTGTAAATAGCGGTATTTTCAACGGTTGGGGAGATAAGGGAATTGGAAGCATTGTCGAACATGATGTTTTCGACCGGTTTTATGGCGACAAAAGTGTAAAGTACCGTGCTTTGAAGGAAACCATTGCAAAAACATGGAAACACATTCAAAGAACACGGGATTTGGGGGACTATCTAGGCGTCGTTGTCTAGCTATTTGAAATTCCGCAGCTTGGAGAGCCTCCAAGGGAGGGAAAAGTGAAAATTCCATAGCTTGGGAAGCTGTCACGGCAGGGAAAAGTGAAAATTCCCTAGCTTGGGAAGCCCCCACGGGTGGGAAAAGTGAAAATTCCCTAGCTTGGGAAGCCCCCACGGAGGAAGAGTGAAAATTCCCTAGCTTGGGGAGCCCCCACGGAGGGGAAAAGTGAAAATTCCCTAGCTTGGGGAGCCCCCACGGGGGGGAAAAGTGAAAATTCCCTAGCTTGGGGAGCCCCCACGGGGGGGAAAAGTGAAAATTCCCTAGCTTGGGGAGCCCCCACGGGGGGGGAAAGTGAAAATTCTTAGCTTGGGGAGCCCCCACGGGGGAAAACAACCCTTAGCCCCTCTCACGGACCGAAATAAACCTGCGGTGTGGGCGGCCACCCCACGCGAAGCGAGGTGAATAACTGTGCCATGTTTCTTCCTGAAGTGCTAACTGCCAACTCAGCCTTATTGTGTCCAAAATCACCTGGTTACTAGTTTGTGAATGTGGAATGTTGGTCTGAACTGATCATCTCAGAATACACTACTAGCCACGGCATCTCATTCAGGCCGTTGGTTTAACATCATGTTTCACCTGAACCATGAACACCCTTGAAGATCTTGTCAAATCTTGCTTATTGCTACAAATGCTTCGAGTGAAGGCCATGAAAACCTATCCATCTGCGGACACCCAGCTGATCAACCCTCTTTTTCTTCGGAGGCTAAACCGCTCCGGCTGGATGATGCCATTGCAGATTCTGCTCAAGGAATTAGCTGTTTGAAAGTTAACCAGCCAGGATTGCGGATATGTTGGCGCGTGGCTGCCCAAAGACAGGGATGAGCAGCATTTCTATGACCAAGCTGCTTAGCAAATGTTGACTAGAATGCGCAGGGTCCGAAATGTCACTCGCAAAAGAGCATCATATCCCAAAAAGATATTGGGATTGAGATACTAAAAAAAAGGGACCCTTGGCTGCTCAAAGAGCTGAAACTTCAGAGAGATCGCCTTCACTCTCATCAGACTGGCACTCGTGAACACCTTGCAGCTCACACCTGGACCATCGAAACATCACATGCAACACCTGCCCACAAAGGGGCCCCATCACCACCCATACCACCCCATATTTCACAGGATTCGGCAGATCCACACAAGGCCAACGATTCAAACAGCCCCAGCTGAACATTGTTGGGATCCCCAGCTGCATCAACGCAACAGAATTCCTACACCCCAGCAGCCAACAGTTTCCACGCCCCGAGGAGCTACAAGTTGGTGAACGGCTGACTACATTTGCTCAAATCGTCAGGAGGGACAGGGAGGGAAAAGACACAAATTGCTGCGGCGCCTAGGCTTCGGCTTGTCCACAACTCTCAAGCCACCGATCTGTAAGCACAGCTTCCGGAGCATCGGCTCGCTACCGCCCGCGGATGCCGGAGGCGAAAAAGCTGACACCTGGACGTCTCGAGCTTCCACACACCTCTTGGCATCATCCTGCAGCCTCAACCTCAGCTGGCAATACGCTTGACTAGAGTTTGCAGGGCTAGGTGGGTGGTCTCAATCCTGAGGCGGTCATTGGTTTGACCTAGTTGGATGTCGGATGTCGGATGTCGGATGTCGGATGTCGGATGACGATGATGATGATGATGATGATGATGATGATGGTGATGGTGATGGTGATGGTGATGGTGATGGTGATGGTGATGGTGGTGGTGATGGTGATGGTGATGATGGTGATGGTGATGGTGCTGGTGGTGATGGTGATGATGGTGATTGTGATGGTGATGGTGATGGTGGTGATGGTGATGATGGTGATTGTGATGGTGATGATCGTGATGATGGTGGTGATGGTGCTGGTGGTGATGGTGATGATGGTGATTGTGATGGTGATTGTGATGGTGATGGTGATGATGATGGTGATGATCGTGATGATGGTGGTGATGGTGATGGCAATGGTGATGGTAATGGTGATGGTGATGGTGATGGTGATGGTGGTGGTGATGATGATGATGATGATGCTGATGATGATGATGATGATGATGATTTTGGTTTTGATTTTGATTTTGGCACACTTCCTCAGCAGAAACCAGCACACCTCGGCTTTGGAACCTCGGGTAAAAGGGTTGTAGAGCGTTGTGGTTGGAACTCTGTGCGCTTGTCATATTTTCAGCTCAAACACTTCATCTTCAGGACATCTTTCTGCTGTGCGGCCGACTGCATGCTGCCAGCTGTCAGAGCAAACTCTCGCAGGTCAGAACGCACAGTGCCCCAGTCTGTGGGCCGCACTATGCGCCGCAAACTAGGCATGCTGCAGTCGAACTCATCGCCACGTCGGACGAAGCTCAGGTGGGCCTGTTCCACGTCCAGCAAGGGCGTGCTGGCATCCACCAACAAGGTCATTTCTTGCAACTCTGGGCAGATTTGGATCAATGAGTTCGAGGACACCTGAAAGCTGAGATGCTGGGCGGCGTGGGGCGCCCTGATTCTACACACACGTGCACAGCCGCGCATGAACTACATATTGGGGCAGTGTGTCCCCTGCTGGGGGATGAATGTCATCGCGAGCCGTGCCTGCGGTACAGAACGATCAGAACGTGCCACGGAAGATCCAGCGCCAGCTGTCTTCGTTCCTTTCTCTTCAATCTGCGGCAGCGCTGGAGTTGAGTCTGGCGCCGCGTCTGCAAACGCCTGCGACAGGATAGGCTGGCATTTCCCAAAAAACATTGAAAGCAAAACAATAGGAGCCTTGCGCACATTAGGAAGGCAGAAAATGTTTTGAAAAATCCTGCGCCAGTCTACCAGTTTGGCTGAAACGACCATTGCCATATTTCCAGGACACAGCCACATCAAAGGCGAACTGCGCCTCGGGCGCAGCGGCTCTGGAGTCACAATCTTCTCTGAGGGCGACTAGATGATGTGTGTCTCCTCCTGGCACAAACTCAGAGAAACCTGCCATGAATCCTCTGATGTTCCCAGAACTGGTTCGCCCACGATGATCTATACTTATCTCAAAGACTGATACCGATAGACGATTTACTAGTCAAGCCATGTCAAGCCTACATTTGGAGAAATGTACAATGCCTGGGACCTATAGGAATGGTTGGGGCTTGGGGCGTACCGTCATTTTGGCACCTCACTTGGGGAGTCATTTGGACAGATTGAAAGGCCTCAACTTTGGAGAGATTCGCAGCCAAGGCTCCAAATAGGTGAGGCATCTTCACATGGAACAGATCCACGCCGATCCGGTGTCCAGCACCTTTCCTGGGCCAACGCAGGTCAGTAATCACTGGTCACCGTTGGTATGACTATCTCGCATGCCCCTGAGTAATCTGCCACTTGTACTAGGATAAAGCTCAACGTTTGCACATGGGTGGTATCTATTTCAGGCCATGGCTGAATCCCATTGCCCTAAACTCTCGGATATGCTCCCTCCCACGTGAAAGGTTCAATAGTTCAGTACACACCGGGTTCTGAGGGGTTGTTTTCAAGGGCATCCATAGAGGCAAGGGATTTTAACCATTGACATTGACATCCTCTGTAACCCCGCTTCCAACGGGTAAAAGGACACAGTACCCTATGAGTCAACTCCCCGAGTAAAACCGACCGTGTACTGAAATAGTGGTATCGGTCGCAAATTTCCACTATAGCATGTTGGATTACCAGATGCTAAATTCTTCATACCCAGCATCAAGGACACTCTCAAACATGGAGGAGCACTCACAGGAGTGTCAGCATCTGTCCCCTTTCCAGTCGGCATGCCGGATTCCAAGTTTTCCGACATGAAGCCTGCATCTGGGAAAGTGCCACAAAAGCTAAGGAGTCAAATATTCACAAAATGAACGATGAAGGGAGGAAAGAAAAAAAACGTACAAGAATAACAATGAGGAGGAGGGTTACCCTTGTTTCCAAGAAATTCAATGTCCAGTTCCCTCAACATCTTCCAAATCTTCAAATTTCGTCCAGGCCACGTAGAAATCTGGGACGTTCCTCTTCAACCAGCAACTCTTCAAAACTTTGGTTGGTGACATCTGACGTCATCAGCAATCTCCTGGCATGTTTCGGCACAAGGAGATCCCGAAGCGCAAAAATTGACGCAGCTTCGGATTCAGCTCCCAAGTGCTGTCTGTGTTGCTGCGTTGCTTCTTGTGGCATCGGTAAGGGACACGACATACTTGACATAACATGCAGGAGGATTTTCACAATGGAGAAGTTTCTGTTGGTCAAGATGAATGATCCGGAGATGATCTGGATCGCTTGCACAAGAAAACCAATGACGATAACTCGATGGAGTCCTTAGACACTCTGCTTTCCCAACCACACGCAAATTGCTATCCAATAGAATCTCACCGTCGCAAAGGCCGCGTAGCATCCTGAAACAAGTCATGTTGCAGGATTGGCTTTCTTCACCACCCCGGTGTTTCTTGTAAACCCTTAGAGAAAGATCCCACGGCAAGAATGAAGTAGACATTGTCCATTAAGAAGGGTCCGAACACTCCAAAACCTGTGCCGTCAAATCCGAAAAAAGTGCACCTGATACCATACAGGCCCGGCATCTGTCGAAAGCTAGCGACCATTGATTCGGAGTTAAGCAGCATGGCAATCCGCGAACGGGTTGAAAATTCCACCAAGCCACTCACTACCAAAATTGCAGAAGAAATCATGATTTGGAACACGAGGCATGTGGTTGCCTGGTTTGCCAAATTAGCAGGCTTGTTGCTCCCTTTCCATGATTTCATCTTTGACTTGTTTCAGAAGTTTGTCAGGGAGCTAAGTCTGCAAATCAATCACATGAAATGACAAAATCGTTTCACCCAGACACTTTGCTTGGGTCACGTTCCCAAGCAACCCAGACCTCATACATTGTGAACATGGCTTGCCCAAGCACTGTAGTTTGAATATCTGCAGATAGGATTGCAACGCAGCAGCGGACTGAACATACCAAGACCGAACTCAGCACAGCGCTTTCCTCATGCCAGCACAATGGTCTGACATTTGCATATCCCACGCAATGCGATGAAAAAACAACCAAACCCCAAGTGGCATGCAATTTTGCATAATTGTTATGGCCGGCCAAGGCTCGCAATCCCTGGAAAATCCATACATGAATGCAAGAATCTGGATGTATTGACTCAACACAATGAGTCGTATCCTCATCTTGTTCAGCGTCAACTTTTGCGCGGCAACTACATGGTGCTGAATCCACCCAGCTATGGCCATCGACATTTGGAGGGGAGATATGGAGGCTGGATCAGACAGCATCTGACATGCCATCGCAAGGATGCAAAACCTAGCTGTTGCTTTCACCCCCTGCAACATCTTAGCATCTTAGCCAGTTGTAATCATCCTTTCAAGCAGGGTTGAAAATAAAAAATAATTCAAACCCTCACCCAGAAACGCGGTCAAATGGACATAGACCCGGGCTGTTCCAAGGTACTGCTTGACTCGGATGTCCCATAGGGCTGCATCTAACACATCATTGGATTTTGTGGGACCACTTCCCTGACCAAGCACTGCACGCAGCATGGAGATGATTTCCTGGGGCGGCGATCAACTGCCCCAACGATCTTCTCAAGCAACCTCTTCCACTTCCCAACAATTCCCAACAAACCAACAAGATGCAAAGCTTAAAGTTCCAACAACCACATCTGGGCTAATCCAAGGGAACTGGCCCATGTTCCTGGCAATGTGCTACCAGAACAAGTGCCACCCCAGCCAGAACGGTTGACGAAAACGTCAACATGCTCACCGCGACCCACTGCCCGGAAAACTCTGCGAATAGGAGCTGCGCTGGAGCCACAAAATGCTGCATATCACTGTGCCACCAAGGTCATTCCCGCATGGGCACGTCTAGACAAAGCAGACAAATAAACGGGATGAGTCTAGGGAGTGAAACGCTTTTTTTAATTTGCAGCCGCCACAAATCCCCTTTTGCAAAGTAACCACTCAAGTGAGGCATCTTCAATTTTATGCGCACCCTCTCAGAGTGCGAGGACACATGATGCAGGATGGAGGTTTGTATCAATTTGAGAGATCTTCATTTTCAACAGTGGAACACCCAACTGCGGTGATGGAAAACAAAGGCACTTGGCACCGACATGGATACTGTAATGCTACTGGAAAAGCGTCACGCAAGTGCAGGCCACAAAGGAGTACGGCGATTCCCTGTACACAAATAAGGGAATCGTGCAACATTGTCTTTGAACACTCTAAACAATGTTGCACGGTTTCCTTAGTTGATGTGGAGGGAGAGTTATGCTTGCCCAAACCCATGATGGATGCCCCAACAGCCAGTGTCCTGGGCCCCCAAGTCTTTTCTGAAGCTGGTGGAGACAGTGTGGCTGCACAACTGGCTGATGGTGGCGCTGCCGCAAATTCTGAGAACGACACTGATTTGCTCCAAGAAGGATATCAATGGAATAAAAGAGCAAGCCTTTTTCTTTATTTATAGCGAAGAAGCTCTAGTTGAACGTCAATGGGAATTTCAGGATCCTAAAATGGAGGTACTGTACCATATAAGCCCTTATTTTGTGGGGATATTCCCTTATATAGCCCTTACATAGGCCTTATAAATGGTAGGTACCTCCAATTTAGGTTCCTGAAATGGCCACTGAAGTTGTGACTTTGACTAAAGCAAGGCCTAGCACAGTAAGAAAATTGTTTCCATATACCAACCAAGGTAAGAACATGTTTTCAGAAGCTTTTTGTGTGGGACCTTCCGGAGCACAATCCCAAGCTTGGGTCTTCCATGAATCCGCTCCGGCTGGATGATGCCATTGCAGGTTCTGCTCAAGGCCTTGGCGATTTGAAAGTTAACCAGCCAGGATTGCGGATATGTTGGCGCGCTGCCCAAAGACAGGATGAGCAACATTTCTATGAGTGTTGCTGAGCCAAAACTACAACATCACAAACATGTCTGACTGAACAGCACGACTGAAAATTCAGATCTTGTTGCCATGTGATAATGCCTTATCATCACGCTTCTCTTCATAAGAATTCACAATCTGCTTAGCAAATGTTGACTAGAATGCGCAGGGTCCGAAATGTCACTCGCAAAAGAGCATCATATCCCAAAAAGATATTGGGATTGAGATACTAAAAAAAGGGACCCTTGGCTGCTCAAAGAGCTGAAACTTCAGAGAGATCGCCTTCACTCTCATCAGACTGGCACTCGTGAACACCTTGCAGCTCACACCTGGACCATCGAAACATCACATGCAACACCTGCCCACAAAGGGGCCCCATCACCACCCATACCACCCCATATTTCACAGGATTCGGCAGATCCACACAAGGCCAACGATTCAAACAGCCCCAGCTGAACATTGTTAGGATCCCCAGCTGCATCAACGCAACAGAATTCCTACACCCCAACAGCCAACAGTTTCCACGCCCCGAGGAGCTACAAGTTGGTGAACGGCTGACTACATTTGCTCAAATCGTCAGGAGGGACAGGGAGGGAAAAGACACAAATTGCTGCAGCGCCTAGGCTTCGGCTTGTCCACAACTCTCAAGCCACCGATCTGTAAGCACAGCTTCCGGAGCATCGGCTCGCTACCGCCCGCGGATGCCGGAGGCGAAAAAGCTGACACCTGGACGTCTCGAGCTTCCACACACCTCTTGGCGTCATCTTGCAGCCTCAACCTCAGCTGGGAATACCCCAGATGGAGTTTACAGGGCTAGGTGGGTGGTCTCAATCCTGAGGCGGTCATTGGTTTGACCTAGTTGGATGTCGGATGATGATGATTTTGGCACACCATGAATTCCTCAGCAAAACCCAGCACACCTCGGCTTTGGAACCTCGGGTAAAAGGGTTGTAGAGCGTTGTGGTTGGAACCCTGTGCGCTTGTCATATTTTCAACTCAGACACTTCGTCTTCAGGACATCTTTCTGCTGTGCGGCCGACTGCATACTGCCAGCTGTCAGAGCAAACTCTCGCAGGTCAGAACGCACAGTGCCCCAGTCTGTGGGCCGCACGATGCGCCGCAAACTAGGCATGCTGCAGTCGAACTCATCGCCACGTCGGACGAAGCTCAGGTGGGCCTGTTCCACGTCCAGCAAGGGCGTGCTGGCATCCACCAACAAGGTCATTTCTTGCAACTCTGGGCAGATTTGGATCAGTGAGTTCGAGGACACCTGAGAGCTGAGATGCTGGGCGGCGTGGGGCGCCCTGATTCTACACACACGCGCACAGCCGCGCATGAACTACATATTGGGGCAGTGTGACCCCCGCTGGGGGATGTCATCGCGAGCCGTGCCTGCGGTACAGAACGATCAGAACGTGCCACGGAAGATCCAACGCCAGCTGTCTTCGTTCCTTTCTCTTCAATCTGCGGCAGCGCTGGAGTTGAGTCTGGCGCCGCCTCTGCAAATGCCTGCGGCGCCAAGTTCAACAATTCCGCGTGCCTTGGGTTGAGTATCCTTAGAATGGTTCTCAAGATGTAGGATCCCAAAATGTACTTAAAACATTTTTGGAAAAGAAAGTTGAAGCGCCTGCTTTCATAGACTATATTTACGAGTTATTTTTATATTATATGATATATATATTATAAATAAATAAATATATTTAATATTTATTTTTATATATTATGTATTATAAATTAAAAATTATATATAATATTAAATATTAAATATTATAAATTATATGTTATATATTAATAATTAAATATGAAATAATATTTTAAATATTAAATATTAAATATTATATTATATATATAGTATATTACATATATTATATATGTTATATTGTATATATTGCAAATAATATTTTATCTATTATATATAAAAGATTATATATAAAGATTATATATTATAATTTATATTTTGATTTTTTTGAAAATATCTTATAGTCTACATTATATATTATATATACTATATTATATATTACACATCAAAAATTTCATAACATATATATATATATATATTGTATATGATATATTGTCTATAATACATTTTATGTAAAATATCATATGTATCAATTATATGTTATATATATATTATGTTTTGAAAAAATATTATATATCATGTATTATTTGTTAAATATATAATATATATTATCTATTCAATATATATATACGTATATCTATCTATATCTATCTATCA